ACCAGGGAAGCACAGTTAAAGTAGTAGCGGTAGCGTGTGACTTCTTCTGCCTCTCGGTCGGAGCGGATCGCTCTAGGAGCTTTGCGCAGCTGGTCGGCAGACGCCTGCGCAACTACCGAGTCTCGAACTGGCTCCTCCAAACCCGCACCTCAAGACGCCACCTCGACACGTTCCAGCCAGGACGCCTGCAAAGGAGGCCTCCTGTCGCAAAATTCTGACGTCACTGAAATGTTTCTCTCGCAGAGTAGGCGATTTGCTCGTCTGGCATCTTCAACTTTATGGGGTGTACTATCTTGTACTGGCACCCTGCTTTTGCGGTACACATACTGCTTACTGTGCCCTTTGCACGTTTCTATGGACACCGAGTTGTAGATTAGACGGTGCATGCCAGCTAGCACGTTAGAAATCTATAACGTGCACTGCTGCATTGCTTGCAGCCTGACGAGCGTCAGCTCGATTGCTTCACCGGGGCCAGAGAGCTCGCCGAGGCAGTCATTGCTCTTGAGCTCTCGGCCTCTTCAGCCAAGCCACAGCTTCACTTCATCTTGAACTTTCAAAGACTCTCCTGCATTTCTGTCGCCGAGTAGTAGAGTCGCTCTCGAAAGCCTGCCTAACAGCCTAACTTGCGCAGCAATGCCTGCACAGACACTTTGGAACTGTGCCTTAAGATCTATCAACCTTCTTGAAAGCCGTCGACGACGATTTCAGCCGACTGTCCGCCGCCCAAGCCAGCAAGCCGAGGAACCATGTTAGTTTCGGACCAGCAGCCTACGGCTCGAATCTTCCGTCCAACGACGCGTGGCCTGTAGAACTCCAGAACACGATCGAGATCGGGATACCCCTCGCTGTAGCCACCTTCTCGGAGACCTTCGCTTGCATCCTCCGACCGCCAAGTGCTTCTGCCGGAGCCTAAGAGGCCGAGCAAATGCGAGCGCACCCGCGCGGCTCGCGCCTGAGAAAGTGCGATGCCCAAATCAGGCGGAGCTTCGGGCCGGGCGTAGCCTCTCACGAGCAATCCGAGGCCAGGATGCCTCCGCAAGATCTCGGCAACCGATTCCAAGCTCTGTCTTGCCTCTTCATCCAGAGCATCGTTTGCGAAGTCAAAATGTATGAGCGGAAACTGAGGTGGTGCAAAGCAGAGATGAAGTCGCTCAAGGCTCCACTTCTCAGCTGCCTTGGGCATCAAGGATGGTTCACGCCAGCGGCTGGAGCTTGCAGCTGAGCCCAAAAACCCAAGCACCTCCTCACAGTTCGCGATCCGCAGCGCTCTGCATGCTCGACCCAGTCGCACAAGGCAGACCGGAGTCACAAAGGCCAGGGATGAGGTGAAAAGGTCCATGTCAGTGAGGACTCTCAACAGCGCCATTGGGGCGTTGGCGCTCGCGGCCGCACTCTGCATGGCTGTTCGGCGGGTCTCTTGCTAAGTCTGTCATACCATGCGAGACATTGCAACGGCAGGAGCTGCAGACTACCAAAGCAACAAGCAGCGGCTACTGTGTGGTGGCAGGATGGTCACCAGCGCAATCCGGAGAATGCGCCTTCGAAGATCAGGCGCTGCTCCCTCTCAGGCAATGATTCGGCCAAAGCCGAACGAAGCTGCGCTACCTCAGAGCTTCCACTGCCCCGAGAATTCCACTTGCGAGCAACAACGTTGGGACTTGAGGCCCGGCATAGCTGCGTCCATCTGCGTCCCAGCTCCCAGAATTTCCCTGATCTGCCACCGAGCAGCGCTCCAGTTCACCGGCACCTGGAGCTCGCAAACGGGCTCGCCACTCAGGCGCCGCACGCTGAGCGCACGCAGCTCAGGTGCAGGATGCAAGTCTGCGCCATCGTCCGCCATCGCAAGGCAGTCCACAATGTTGCCGCGTCTAGCTCAGTTCTAGAGCAGAACTCGGCTTTAAGCGAGGCATCGAGGCATGTGACAAATCAAAGCTGGGAGGAAAGCAGAACCTGCATTGTGAAACCGCTCTCTTTTGTCTGCCTCGAGTTCGAAAACTGCTTGAAAGCTGGCCGCGCACGGCGCCAGTTAAGATGGAGACTCCCCAGATCGAGACATGATGCTGGCCAGTGACGGAGACTGCAGCCGCTCTCTGAGTGAACCGCAGTGCCCAAAAGCTTGGATGCTACGGTTTGAAGCAGGCAGGCAAACAATTACAAGCATCTTATGTCGTATGCGTGCATGACCCACAGCAGCACCGGAGGTCCTTCTGAACATCACTTGACCGCTTTTTCCACAACGAATTTGGGAACGCAGGAGACGTGGACACTGTGTACAACTCTGCACATCCGCCTCGCTTTCGCGAGGACACTTCCATGAATTTCAGCCATTCAGGACGCCAACTCCTTTAAGGAAGTCCCCCAACAGCCCGACACAGTGAGCAAAGTTCACAGGCGAAACCTGGCGTCCGATGCGAAGTGTACACGAATAGTATCAAATAGTTAGAGGGTGAGGGGACAAGTAGCAAGTAGGTTGGCTTCTGCTATGGATGCGGTTGCAACTGTTGCAACCAGGAAAGCCTCAACCAGTGCGGATTTGATCCCATAGTAGTAGTGGTAGATCTACATGTAATAGTTGGAGTAGAAGCAGGCACATGGGGAGGATCTAGAGTAAGAGTAGGCATGCTTGTGGCAGTAGCACAAGCAGGAGCAGCAGCAGGACTGGTCGCCGTTATCGTCCTACAACTCGTAGGAGTATTAGCCTCCCTGCTAGCCAAACAGCAAAAAAAGTCAACACTAACAAACGACATACAAGTAAGGATGCTACCTGATCAACAGACCAAACTCTCATGGATGAACTTTGCAACATTGCCACCGAGTAGCCCTCCAATTAAAGAAGAAGTGACCCTCGCCGGGGAAAGTGACCAGTTTACAGTCACTGCCCGTTTTTTCCATCCTTGGCAGGCGAGCTGCAGCGAGCTTGGCAGCTCAGGTGCATCGCTTCTTGCGCCAAGCTGCCCGCGCTGGAAGCCCTGCACCTCCTCGATCGGCACCAGGTGGTCAGCCGTGCCATGAAGAATGAGCGTGGGCTGGGACAGCTGACCTGATTTTCTACGAGCCAGAAACCTTTGCTCACAACTCCAGCAGACCTGGTGTGTCGGCTTGCCATCAGCCTTCCTGAGCTTCCAGCGCACCCGATGGATGGGGGAACCAGCCCGCAGCTGCTGCTCGCCATAGCGCCATCGCAGCGCTAAGCTGCCCAGCCAAGTTGCAAGCCGTCTATCACTGAAGCGCTGCGTGAACTCCAGATCGAGCACTGGGTTGAAAAGAACCAGCCTCGGTGTTTGCGACACCTCGTCGGTCGTTTGCCATGCTAGCATTGCGGGAGCCTGACCCTAGTTATGTAATTGTGCGGTGTTGCGACGGGGCACCCTGCCAAGCCCAGATTCTCGCGGAGAGCCGCCATGGCGGCCGTGTGGCCTCCGCTTGAGGCACCTGAGTTGAGTTTTCAGCGAGGTGTGCCATAACAGTCTGGATCACTCGAGCCGGAATGGCCGAGCGCTTCTCGGGTTCCTGCTACCGCTGGACCTTGCGGCTGGTGCCGCTATCTTCCTTAGTCTTTTGCCTCTTGGTTCTGCTTGCCATTATGCTGCTGCTTCTGCGCTTCTGCCTCGCTTGCGTAGTTCTGGTATGCAAACACTTGCAGCAGGTGCGACAGCCTCCAGTGACGTGCCAGCAAGAGACTGCCAGACCGCGCGCGTCCGTGCAATAGTGCACAATCTGTTTAAGATAAGATGAAGATTTTGAAACAGGATCGAAATGAAATCTTGGCAGGACACGGATTAGAGTTGAGCAGGGTGTGTGACGGTTGTGAAGTCTGTTGTCTGTCTGATGCGTGCCATCGCGCCCTACGCATCGCTTCCGCCCTAAACATCGCTTTTTGCGTAAGACAAAGACCTGCCAAGACGATCTTCTCCCGGTCGATCCCCATCTTGTCTGCGTTCTCTTGCAGGTAGCGCACGCAGCGCTGGGCATCGTCGATGCTGTCAAAGGGCACCTGAAGCAATCAGCTTGCACAGAGTCGGAAGATCAACAGCCCACAGCCTGGCCTTGGAAAGCGGATGTGTCAGGAAGCAGCTCACTTCGCAGCATGCGGTGGAGATGCCATACCGGCGGGAGACCTCCTGAAGTCGCAGTGACCAGCTGCATTCTCCTAAATTGCTTCCTGACGGCGGTCCTTCGCATAAGGATAGAACTGCGAAGGTGCTCCACCGAGGAAACCACCTGCAATAGCTTGGGAGCGACATGAAGCCGGCATCGACGCTGAACTGCAGCAGTGTCTTTCTCTGGCACCTCCATGCACGAAGACCATGCAACCTTTCTTGGATGATTGATCCTCCTGCGGTAGGAAATGTAAGGAGAGGCCATTTTGCTCAGAGTAGCTGTGGACCTGCACCGGGGGCTCTCACTCCCAGCACCGACAGAGATCAATCTATCGTTCGACTATCCCTTTCAGTGCCAGCACAGAGTGAATCTAAGAGACGCTCTGCATCCTCAGCGGGAATGGGCAGGGAAACGGGTCCCACAGTACGAAGAAATTGCTTTCTAAGCCTTCACCTGCAGATGCCACCTGCCTCGCCGCCCAAAGTTGATACGAAGCGTTCTGCGATGTACTTCCTGCAAGCGCCGAGCTGTCTTCTGACAGGCTTGCAGCGCGCAGCTCGCTCTCGTGCTTTAAGAACTGCCAGCCTGAGGAAAGCACCCGCAACGATGCCGGGAAGCTTGTCCAGCCAGGGATCTCCCAAGGCCCCGCTGCAGGAGTCCATTGCTTCTCAGAGACTCAAGGCCTACTTCTAGCCGCTCTAGCCTATAGCAAACTGTTGCAAGTAGGCTTATGGGGATCCCTCCGTCTTCCCTCTTGCTGACATCCTCATGCGCGCCGTGAAAAAACCTTGCAAGAAAGTAAGAGGAAACATGGGAGCAAAAGCCTCAAATGCCGCCCAAGAGCAGTATAGCGATCCCTCAAGCAGGCAACTGGAAATAATGCAAAGGCTTGGATGGACCAGTGGAGCTGTGGAAGGCAGGACCGGCCTCGGTGCATTGTGACAATCTTGTACTCCAGTGCTGCGTGTGCTCGAACCAGGAACTGAATCTGGATGCATGCTGCAGGAACCTGCCGAACTACTGAGGTCGTGGCTTGCCCTCAGGACGGTGCACGCCATGGCCAGCCTTCCTCAGCGAGTTCCGACATTCTTCCAGACGCTTGCCCAGACAAGCACTTGTCCAAGCAAGTCCTGAAGGTTGCACCCTCGTGTCATCAGTTTAAATAACAAATGCGAGGCCATACATGCTGAGACTGAGATCTCGAGCTCTTCCCAGAACTGCAGCAGTTCCTGTAACACTGGTCAGGAGAAGGCAGAATCAAAAGTTGAAACACAGACTGCACAGGGAAACACGTTGCCCTCAGATTTGTGCCGGCTGGCCTCCTGCAAGCTGAACATACCCATGATCCGGACACAAATCGAAAGCTACTTCTACAACGTTTCTTGCTTCAACATGCTGCACTGTCGTGTCTCCCTTCTCGAACATGGCTGTGAGCCCCGGTTGCCGGCACTTTTTCGACAGCACCTCTCGGGTAAGTGCGGCGATGTGCAATTTCGGAAGAGGATCTCTGCAGGAAGCTCACCCTTTTCCTTGCCTGGCGTTCGCGGAATTTCTTGCAAACGTCGGCCAGTTTTCTGTGAGCTGAGGCGCTTTCAAGCATAAGACCAGTTCACACACCAAGCTCGTTCTTCGGACGGCTGATCCATGTGTGGGCCACATGTCCATCAAGACGAGGACGTGGACGTCGATAGCCAGTGAGGGAGCAACAGGCATCCAGGTGAGTCCCCTTCATGTTGCTGCGTTGCGGCTGTAGTTCATGAGATCAGTCGTCCTTCCATCCTGTCAAGCGCTGGTGCTTGTACACAGCATCCCTGAATCGAGCGGCATATCCGTTTTCTTCGATGCCCATCTCTTCTTGCACGTCAATGTCTTCTTTTATCTCCTTTGTTGTGCGACCGATTTTGGTATACACCTTCCGATGCCAGTGGACCTGCACGCAGGAACCTTCCACTTTGTATGTCCCAAACAGCGTGATGCCGTCATACTTGAAAACAGCATTTTGCGTTTCGTTGCTGAAGAAGCAGAGCTCATCTACTCGGGCATCGGCATGATACAGCCCCATTGGCATCTCGGTGCGAGCGGGATCCTCTGCAGAGCCTGAATCGACCATGAGGATAAGCCAAGTTGGCGAGATTTTGCTGTCAGCGATCTGCAGAACTCAAGCCGAGATGTCTTGCACTTCGTGTGTGTGTATACCTGCTCTGTGTGTGTGTGTGCATATGTATGTATACATACATGTATAGGCCAATAGGTGAGAATATAAATCTAAATATGAATATATATATATATATATATATATAATGTAAATATTATATATATATACCTATCTATCTACCTGGTACCTACATATCTACCTACCGACCTACCGACTGACCGACCTACCTACCTACCTACCCGCTTGCTGCACACAAACATACGCACATATGTACGTACAGCAGGGCACAGTCATATACCCACTTGTAGATAGTGACGGAGATGCGGTGGATCGCTGTAACCCTGAACCCCAGCTGGAAGCAGAAACTGCGGCGTCGCTCAGATGCCGGCATGCCCCTAAACTGTCAGGCCCTACCGGAAGCCAAGCACACACGGCTGGTGTCGCGAAAACTAAGGACGAACCACAGCTGTGCAGACTGCGATGGAGGCTACGAAGATTGTGTGTCTGTCTTGAAACCGAGTACTTCATCATGCCAGCCTGCCTGCCCTCTGCAAAGCCGTCAAAAGATTGAGGCATTACAACCTTCTGGCGGCGAGTTTGAGGTGAACTTGAGCTCAAGCTGCGGGCCTGTCTCTTCTGAAACAGCGGAATCAGCGAAAAAATACAACCGAACCGATCTGAAATCGAAGAGTCTTTTGACGAAACCCTACTGGAATATGATAGTGAATGGCTCGTGTCTTCCCTTGAATGAGTAGCTGTATGCCAGAAAGCAATCAGGACATCGATGACTGAAGAACCCAATGACCCACTTGAACTGCTTCTTCAAATTTTCCACGAGCCTCTGATCACTCTGATCCACAACCATCCCACTATCCATGGAGGCTTTCAGAGCAGCAATTATGTTGCGCTCTGCTTCGGAACCGGCAGGTGGAGCGGCGCTATTCTCGCCAGGCTCAAACCGTGCATCGCATGTCCGACCAAATCCTACAAATTCTTCTGCAGCGTCATGCATGGCTCCAGGAAAAGAGCTGGTCGGCTTCTCGTCAAACGCCGAGGCCGGGAAGGTCCGGACCCACTCCCCAAAAAGGTCCGGGTGCAAGCTGCCAAGGTAGCACCTCGCCAGAGACAGTGAAAGGTCCGGGAACATGAGGTCCAAGGAAACTGCTCCTACCTCGTCCGACAGTAGCGCACCTAGCTCCTGCCGACCGGACACAACGAGAACTGGTCAAGATCCCGCGTAGATTGGGTCCTCGTCGCTCAGCTTCCAGAATTGTTGCTGGGCCTGCCATGCCAGTGCTGTGATGTTCCTTTCCGGCTGTTGCCACTCCAAGTTTTGTAAGCAAGCTCGACATAGAATGCTCCACTTGCAACAAACCAGCATGTAAGATGTTGAATAGACGTGCTGTTTTGCAGCATCCAAGTACCTGAAGCCCACATGCGATGGCTGCTATGATATGTGAAAACCTGACTTCGAGAAAACCGACAAAGCAGGTCTTTTGCAAAGAGCTAGTGGTGGGCGACCCCATCCACCCAAGCTGTTCAAAGTGGCTTTGCTAGTGCAGCAATGGGCACGAGTGCGGCACACCCTGTGGGTGGTCATAAACTGTCTCAATGCACAACCATTTTCAGCATATTGAATCGAAACATGGCAAGACCGTACAAGACGACAATGCCTGCCAGTTAACGCTTTGACGCACTTGTACAGCAGGCACAACCATGGCGTTTTCCAGTGGGCAAACGGAACAGTAACCGATGACATCTGTTCCGCTGGGACTGTACATTCCTAGGACTACAAACACCTTGCCCGAACATGTAACCTGCACGCCCAAACACTCAATACAAAGACTACGCAGTGTTTGAAGAATTTGTGTTTTTTGCACATCTGCTACGTTGACTTCGGGTTTTGCCTTGGCGAGGTCCGAAGAATCAGTACTCATCTTACGTAGTCTTTCGGTGGTTTTCGGCCGTCTGATGAGACACAACAAGTGCCCGAGCCTTTTTCTGAATTCGCTCCTTATCGTTTTACACACCAAGCTCTTCCTGCTTGAAAGTGCCGCTTTGTCTGAGATTAGCCCACAGCGGGTTTTTTTACTCAACCCCATGTGTTCTCGGCTCTGACGTGCTCTCAGTTCGCACTCGGCTCGGCCTCTGAAGATGTGCACCTCGAGCCATATGCTCGTGTCCGACGGCAAACAGCAACTTCTTCTAAAGCTATTCTACTCAGGGCCCTTAAGCCGATGAGCCTGATTTCTAGGCAATTGTCGAAAAGGTGCCTGGGGAGTCGAACCGGTACCATATCAGGCAGCTTCCTCTTCCGGTGAAGGCCAACGGACCCTTTCGAGACCGAGCCCCAATGGTAGCTCGACAAGCGACAGCAAAAACAGGGCCGCATCTGCCGAAGTCTCAAGACTGGCTTTGGCTGACTCAGGGCAACACCAAGAGCTGTGCTGCAAGAACTTTCCGAAGCCACCTCAGAACATCAGTCGTGTCTTGCAGCTCAAGCCTTCGACAAACTGCTACAATCAGTTGAAAACCAAACTAGGTCCGTAGTTTCATACTGCTGCTGGACAGTGAACAGCCGAGGACCCTCTCTGCCTGAATGACCCTGAACACTGCATAGACTGCCCTAGCGGCCCCTGCCCCGGCCCCTGCTGAGGCGCCAGCTCGCCCTCGCAGGCTGCGAGGTCATCCCCAAGGCCTCATTTTTCTCAAAAGAGATATAATGATCGAAGCACGGACATCCCACGTTCTCAAACTGCAGACCCGAGCAAGAGCACAACATGATGGTGCCCCCACACAAAGCCCGCCTCCCGAAACACTATGCAGTTCGTCATGTCGCCTATCGCCTCCTTTTCGAAGTCATGCTTCAGGCTACATTGACACGAAGCTATTCAAAGCTCCAGATGCGGGCAGAGAGCAGCATCAATTTGGCTGTCTTGTTGCCGGGCCATGTAGATCACAATCGACCTTGGATGCTGAGCCAGACACACAAACCAAAATATCTTTCACCGAAGCTCTGTCGGAAGACAGTCAGATATAGAGCTGCTGTTCTGTTCGCGCGAACTGCATTGCCTGGAAGCGAGGTCTTCTGAGGGTTCGACCAAAGTGCCTCGGAGCCATGAAACGGTGCCAATTCATGACAGCGCTGTGCTTACTTGGATGGAGAGCTCCACAAGGGCACACACATCAACTTGTTAGCAAATTCTGCCGCAAGAGTTTCCCATGAGCACAAAATCTGTCCACTAGGCCGGCAAGCACATGGTGACTTGCGCAAGCAGCACCGACAATGTTATGTCGAACAAGAAGTCTTGCTGCGATATTTCAGGGAATGCAACAATGGGGTTGCTGCAAGTCACCTTCTTAGGCACTCCTTTGAGGAGACCTCGGCTGGGGAGGACATTTACAAGTCTGGAACGAGGAAACATTCGGGGAAAATCGCAAACCCCACTCCTCTGCTGAGTGCTCAAAAGCATGCTCAAAGCCGTGAGCGTTCTCTCGAAGTCGGGGAGCTCTTTGGAGGGCGAGCGCATGCTGTAAGATCCAGAAAGGTAGTACGTCGGAGATTCTGAGAAAATGCTCACGCCACAATATAAACATTGAACCAGCATGGCGAGTCGTAACTACTCTTGTGGCAGGCTCGCATGCCTGACTGCGTGATTCGAGTCGGAGCCACTCGTCATGCCTCTACAAATTCCGGGTCCAGCATCCTGAGACACCACGACTCACAGACAAGACTGACAAAATCAAACCCTAGCTGATCCTAGCTGGCCCTGGCCCTAGCTTCTATACAACCCGGACTTTCGCAAGACATACACACCGTTCGAGCAGGAAACGGAGGGTAGTGACCGGGTAGTATAAATAGACCGCAGGCGAAGTGCAGACAAGAAACGTCACACCCGGACCTGGGAGGACTGAACGTCTGCAGTACACATGCTTCAGCCCCACTGGAAGCCTACATGTAAAGTACTGCCAAGTCGAAGCCCGAGGAACGACATGCGCCACCCACACAGAAAGCAGGGCTGCGGAGGCAAACGCTGCTGCGAGAAACGGCAAGGCTGCTTCAAAGCCCCCCTCCTGACATGGCAGGAACACCTGAATATGTCACTCATTTGAGGACCACTGCTTGCTAAGTGCATTTGCAAAGGGTCCTCGCGCAAGGCACCGATCGCAACCGTGACGGTTGCCTGTGTGGAAACGGATGTTCAATAGGTGACGCCTCGGCCTCACCTATAAAGCCTCAGCAACGATCAGGATCATGTCAACAAATCAACTTGGGCCACTTTTCGTGGCCTGGCCCAAGCCGTAGAGGGAATCGAGCAGGCCGAAGGACTTGCCACAAGATCCTCAGATCTCAGCATCCGTCAAACTCTGAACCAAGTAGTGGTCGTAAACGTTGATCTTGATTATTGGATCGCTGACAAGCAACGGCTGTTAGCCGGGACCAGTACAAGCGGTAACACCGGCATGACTGTGGCAGCAACAGCAATGGCCAGGAGACCTCGCCGGATGCGTTTGGACTGTGGAGCCGCAACGACAGACATGCTTTGCAAGGCAAGCAGGAAAGACTCTTCTGTTTGTTGATACCTCTGGAACCACCTTCGGCCTGCTTCGAGAAGCAACGAAGGTGCCGCCAGCAGTGCCAGAGTACCGAAGAATGGCAGCAAAGAGATGACCTGACAAAATAACGGCCGATCAGGGAGCTCTCGCCAACGCGGGAAAAACACAATTGCTTGGTATCCGGCCACCAGCATGATGCGCAACCCGACGAAATATCCGGAGAAAGCGACCAGTGGCATCAGAAGCCTCGGCACGGCATTCCCTCGAAGAACAAAAACCTCTAAAACCTCCCAAACTTCGGCGAACTCTTCCCAGATGCCCGAGCAGAAGCACATGCACGAAGCGCTGCAGCACCAACCGAAGGAATTTGTCAGCTTCTGACAAAGAAAGCCAGGGTACAGTGCGATCATCTGGTTGACTGCAACGACTGAGCCTGCCTGCAGCAGGACAGCAGCTGCGAGGCTTTGCAGTTGCACCAGTGTTTTGCAGAAGCTCCTACAAGTTTGTAGAGTCAGCGACCTGCTCAAGCGTTTCGCTGCTGGCAATGATTCCAGGCCCTTGCCTCTTTGTGATTCCTGCCCGTGGCCACTAGCAAGTCGTTGGTGAATGACCTTGTTCGGCGGCCAAGTCGTGAAGGCAAATATGCTCGGCAAGCACCAAGTTTGCTCCCGACCACGTTTATCCTCGCACTTGCTACAAGATTCTAAGACTCGTGCTGGAACGCATGAAGAACTCCCAGCAGCAGACCGCGCCATATGCCCAGCACCCATATCGCCTTCTCCGACTGCAGCCTCTCGTGTCCGCAGTTGCCGCAGCAATCATAGGACGCCTGCGAGGCATGGCAGACCGCCTACACGAGCTAAGTCAGGTTGACATGTGCAGACAAGTAGCGGACATGGTGCAGGGAGGAGCCCACAGGCGTCCTGAGGGTCTACTATGGCTGCAACAGCTTCTGCATCACCAATGTTCAAAGCACCCCGCTTGTTTCTCTGCTCTGTAAGCAGGCCCCACGTCAGCAACTTAATCAAACCCCTGGAGCGGCTGCCTGCCAGGCCGTCATCTTAGACGTATTCGATGTATCCAGTCTCAAGAATGTAACCTGACTCTTCATCTGAGTACCGAAACCCAGGCGTCACATTCTCGAGGCTGAGCTCATCAAGCCGCCAGGCCAAAAAGCTTCGCTTCTTGCAGCCGACGGAAGACAAAGGTGGGAGTCACAGGGCTTGAAGCATGAAACGGTCCCCATGCCTCAGAATGTAGACCGCGCCTAGAAGAGTGCCTTCCAAATGCTCAGAAAAGGACTGGCGGAAATTCCGACGTGACAGTCACGTCTCATTGCTTCAACTAGCAAGTTCTGGTACACTGGAGGGCTTTCCTTCTGATTTTTAGCACGGTCTGAAACGTATCATCACGAAACTTGACGAACAGAGTTGCTCAGACGCGACTCTTTTGAAACGTGCTACCGAAAGTCGCTCTGAACCTAGGTCGGTCCTCTGCACTTGACTGATCACGCTGTGCTTTCCGGCAAGCGGGCTTCAACTGATCCCCTGCAAGTCGGATGCCAGTGTCCTTGGAAACCCTTTTGAATGTGAATTTGTATCTCGCCAGCTCTTCATGCATGGAACAGAAAAGAAACGCGGAGAGACAACGAAAGCTCATCCCGGCCGATTCGCTGGTACCTGTGCCGGAGTCTCTCCATCTGCACCGTTACGGTTCCCTTGTGGGGCGGCTTGAGCTTGAGCTTGAGCTTGAGCATGAGCTGCAGGACCCGGGAAACCCGGGGTTATCACGACTCTCTCAGTCAGCCACGAAGCCCTGGAGTTGCCTTTCACAAGAGCACTTGGAGGCTCGAGTCCGAGAGCAGCGGCCAAGTTTCGCTGCGCAGTCCACGGTTCCATTCGGAAAGACAGCGCGCCGCGCAGCTCAACAGCTGATCCTCTTACTTCCCAGCTCACCCTTGATCCGAAAGTGCTGCAGCTCTTTCAATTACTTACACCATGAACCCCACTGAGGCACTCAGGTTCAGGGTCATGGAAAAGCCTCCCAAAGTCCTGGAGACTTTTGAGCAATCTCTTGCTCAATCTCCGCTTCCGGGTCATCCTCGTCGAGGAGCGGAAAGCTCAAAACGCTGGGACTTGGACTCAAAGTTCGCATCCTCAGCTCTCAGATTTCTCCTCGGCAAACCTTCCTCTCCAAGCTGCACCTGCTCGGCCTCCCCCCTACTTCGGAATCCCGGTGTTCCTGCGACGTGCTATCTGAGCCAAAGGGCGGAGAGCGCGGCACCGGCTCCGGCCCCCAGCAGCACGCCAAGCAGGAGGCTGCGAAGACCTGACCAGGACGGAAACACCCAGATGCTTCCGACCAGATTCCGGAAACTACAAGTAGCTTGTAGAAGCCATGGGTCGCTTGCTGGACACTTTTCCAGTCAACACATTCATGCTGAGAGTCGAGCGGAGACGGCGTTCGGCAACAGAAGGGTAATTTGCAGACCTATCAATCCGGACCTGTCCAGAACCTTGGCAAGACGATGAATACAAACAATCGGAGTGGCACAAACCTCTGCTTCGAGAAGCCCTACGAGTATCAGCCCTGGCCCTAGTAGTGGGCACAATCTGCCACCGGCGGGCTCGCGGAACCGTCCAGTTGCATATCGCCACGACGGCATGCCCGAAGAAGATCATGACCACGAAACCCAACAGAAGCCTCCACACAGACTGCTGCACCAGGTCCAAGTCAAAAGCACATTTTGCAGAGATCTCCCGAGGTCTCGGTGTTTTTGTGGATCTGCCTGGGTGTGGGCAGGTAGTCCTACCCCGAGGCATGCACGCACAGCATGCGGACAGAAAGGCTCAACGAGTGCACGGCCTTTGGTGCACGGATGGCAAACTGAATGTGGGCCATTTCAACATGTAAAGAGTGCGAGTGCTCCCCAACATCTTGCAGACAAACTGGCCACAAGAAGTCTCCCACCAAACTCTTGACCGCATGCCGTGAATTGGAGATCTCTGTACATCGGGAGCAGAGCGTCGTTTTCCGGTTGGAAAAGTCTGCCGCTCGTGTGCTCAATAGTCAATCCAGCCCTGCTGCACAATTTGGAGCTGCTCTGTACAAGCCGATCCGCCGATTTAGACTCACTCCGGGAAAGCCGGCTGGGGCTCGGCTCACATGGCACTGCAGCACTGGCTTTCAGACGGCATTGCCTGACATCCGGCGAAGATACAATCAGATCAGGCCAAATCACCACTTTAAGAAACACCTCCCTCGTGCTCGTGGGCCCTGCCTCGATCTCCTGCAAGCGGCGCAGGATCTCTGCAGGATGAGGCCGCTCCTCCGGCTTCTCATGCCAGGCCTCTGACTCTTGGACTCTTCACCGGCGGCCCAACACCCGTGTCTACATATTTTTCACGAATGCAGGCGCCTGGCGCAGAAGACCACGAAACCGACTGTCTTTCACTGCCTTGTTGCAACTGTCGGCGCGGAGGCCGATGGAGTATGCTAGCCCACCAGATCCTACCAGATTTGTGACCATCGACTCAGCTGCCGGCTTGAAGACTCGGCCGCGGCACGCGGCCCTCCTTGAAAGCCTCCCGAGCACACTGCGACGGCTTCTCAAGATCTCGCGCGGCCTGGATACTAGACTATGTATCTCGCAATCCAGAAAATCATTGGGAGCCTCCATCACGTGGTCTGACGGCTTGTGCATTCCATCATTGTCAAGGTGCTGGAAAGGCCGAATTCCTCACGAGTCGAAAGCTGGTCGGCGCCGACCGGTCGGATGTCTTCGGATGGATGCCTGTTTAATCCCACTCGCAGGACAGGGCTCCTGTGCACATGAGCCACAGCACGAGACCAAGTGCAAAGACGTCGGCTGCAATGCATTTCTCGACCTGCGAGTATTGTGTGAACTTCGGGGAATCTCGAGAAGCCTGCCCAAGCCTCATTGCAGGGCTCCCCTGCAAGGACCTGTCCCGCCAGTTCCACGGCGGCTCATGCCAGAGTTTGAAGGAAGAGCGATGCCTCTGGCGCCGAGTAGAGGCAGCTCTCCAAACTGGGAGCGCCAACCTCTGCCTGGCAGCTACAGTGGCATGGCAATGCACGAAGCACCTGCCGGCACGCGGCTGCTCCGGGAGGACCTGATGTCTGTGGTCGATCGGCGCCAGTGCTCCTGGCAGAATTTATAAGCAAACCTCGCGGCCTGCTTTCAATTCAAGGGCAGTCACCAAAGTGTCAAAGAAGTGCAGCAGGTCGACTGATCGGTCCTGATGGGCTTAGCCGCAGTGCCAGGCTGGTACCTGAGCTTGGGCTCCAGAAAGGTGGGGGGCGGGCTGCCCGAGCAGCAGTTGTTCATGGGCAGTTTGCTGTTTGCTGAGGTGGCCTGGCCTTGCTTTGCGGTTTCTACCTGCTGAATCCCGCTTGTTACTTTGGCTTTTAGCTTCGTGCAAGAAGCCGACACACAGTCAATCACATGTCGGCTTGCAAAGGGATGGCAACAGCAAGCAAAACAGTCATGACTGAGGGCCTCGAGAGGCCAGGCATTGATCCGAAAGAGTACCGGCACTTGCAGGATACGTTGGAAGGAATGCCGATATGCCGATTCAGCATTGACACCTGCAAGATCCGTGTTGAGCAGCCGCCGCCATGGACTCCAGCCAACCTTCTGTTGGCTGGAGCTGGCGGCGGCGGAGCGGATGCAGCAAACTGATCTTGCCTGTGTGAACGGGCCGCTGCATCGGAACATCGTCAGACTTCTCGAAGGTATGCTGCAAGCACTCTTGCAGTGCTTTCAGACTAGCTGGCCACCTCATGATCAATCATGTGAGTGCTAAATTCCTGCGGACAGTTAAGACTTGACTGCTCTGGTTGCAGAATCTCTACTGCCAATCTTCTTTTTTTCAGCTCCGCGAAACGCTTGAGCCTACTGACAATGTGCAAAAATACGCAACTATGGGCTGTCTATGGGCTGTCGGCTGAGACCGGACGGGAACTGCTGTGCAGCCGTGCAGCCGGGTGGCAAAGGAGAAGATTTGACGGTCTCAAGTTTCCATGCGCAATCGGGGGACTGAGTCCCGCAAGGAAAGCCACAGCACCGGCAGCGCTGATGGACCAGCTAAGAAGTAAGGACCTCGCGAAGGGCAGCGCACTTCTACGCAGTTTAGTAGGGCAGCAGCTTCCCTGTTCCATGCCTGGGTGGTGCCCAGGGTCGGTGCAGCTCTTGCCGCTTGCTCCTGGTAGGGCCCTACTACACACTCCCAGACACATCCTACTTCTATGGCTTTCTCGCGGGGCCTCAAGAAGCGCTCCAGGTCACCTCCCGACATGTACTCCATCACCAAATACACAGGCTGCTCCGGCTCGTCCAAGCAGGCCCCATAGAACTTCGCGAGGTAAGGACCTTTTCAAGTTGAGACAAAACCACAAGCATAATATGGAACAACGGGAGAGCTTGGGCTTCGCCGGTTCTGGATGGTTCTCTGGGGGTTCTGGGGTGCAGGCATTCGACTTGCGAAAGCTCTCGAAGCAAACGGCGCAGCTTCTCCTGCATGCTGTCTCAAGATGCTTCTGCCGGGAACTGGTCGGCTAGTCGGCTGTCCTCCGGGTCGGCTCTGCCGGCACCGCAGCGCTTCAACAGCAGCGACCGCTCCTTACAGCTTGGCATAATTTGCACAAGAAGCGATTGTGCCTGTGCAGCACGACCACACAATGACTTCAGCACAAGGTGTGGTGACACATCTTCGAAGGTTAGCTTCTGTTGAGGCTCAACTTGCTTCGCCACAACTGGGATATTTGCCCAAAAGCCGAAGTACGAGGGGCTGCGTCCTGATCTCGAGATGAAGACGGCAAGAACCAAGAAAAGCAGAGATGGAATCCGCCTGGCCTCCACCCTGCCAGGCTCCCCGATCTGCCGCATCAATGCGCGCTGAGATGGACACTTCGCCTTTCCACGGCGAAACGAACAAACCATGTCAGCCGTCCTACAGCCATCCCTTTGCTTTCCTCATCCGCTCTCCATCGCTCTTCGCCCTCGCCTCGCGCGATCTGCCAAGCCTCGCGCGCGGAGCTCCGCGCGGACCTTGGCGCCTCCGCCACCGCGCGGAGCTCCCGCGGCGTGGCCCGCGGCGTGGCCCGCGGGGGTGTGGGGTCTCCCGCCCCGGCCGCAGCCGCGGCCGCTGCGGCGCGAAGAGAGGGAGGCGCCTGCCCACGCAACCGCATCACGGACTGAGCTACAAGGGCTGCCACTCACACATCCTACGAATGTGCTTTTCCGCATGAAAACTTGCGAGAGCCTGGCCTAGGGACCTGCAGGCCTGGATCCAACGTCAAACTGCCAAACCCTGAAGATTTCAATGGCTTTCTGGCTGCTACGGCGCTCTGGCTCGTCAATGCCCAGGGAGCCTCCGGGTCGTTGCTCCTTCCGTCGCCCGAACCGGCGACCTGCCCGCGGCTTCGCGCGACAAGCAACGGCCAACTCTTCTTCGGGCCCTGCCAGCAACGGCAATGGCGCCAGCAAAGGGGCTCCACGATGCGCATGGGGGTGCTGACGAAGTCGCAGCCTCCAACATCGCAAGGCCAAGCAAATGTTGCCAATACCACGAATGCAATGGATGGACAACGTGCGTGCAGTATCTGCAGTTCAAAGGGCAACTCCTTCAGCATGGAACTCGGGAATGTAGGATCCAGGCAGCTCCCTGTCAGGGAGTAACATGGAGCGACGGTGAGGAATAGTGGTGAAGACTTTCAGTTCTATAGGAGAGCATTAAAATGCCAGCTCAATCCAGCTCAAGCTGAATGCCTATCAGCGTCGGCAGGTGTAGCTGCTCCAGACGAGACTGCAATGCAGTCACTTCCTCCTGGACAGCAACGCGGTCAGTCGTTGCTTGATACATTGATAGCCAGCCGTCGTATGCTGCGCCTGCGGCACGAGGTCTTTCTTCATGCCAACAAACAGAAAAGGAGCCTTGTCGCCACTCAGCCCGACAAAATGGTTTCAGGGACAGCCCAGCGCACATCAAGATTTTGGCCCAACTATACTTGTGCTGCTAGTCAAAGTATGCACGAAACAGCAATAGCAGTGCCTGAGGTCCACAGTGGTATCTCGCAACGTGCAGCCAGTGAAGCAGCACCTCGTCGACCGTCTCCTTCCTGTCCGGGCCGTGTTGAGCATGCTGCAGCTTACATCCATGACGAATAGTTGAATAGATGTTCAATGACCTCTTCCGATCAGAGAGACAGGTCCTCGTGCAGTCCACCACGAATAATACACCATCAGGGCCGTTCGCGAAATGCGACCTGGGAAAACGGCTTCCAATATGTTGAGCGGCCGGAAGGTCTCATGAGCAGTGTGCCGAAACGGAGAAACTCTCAAGCATCGCGTTATTTTATGTTTTGGTTAAGCAGCATTTCGATCTCAATGATACTGCCTCTCATGATCCCGCTCCCGCTGTTCCAACATGTTCCAACACGCGTTCATGCAGGCACCGCAGACCAGGATGTCCGTGCTCACGTTCTGCCGCCACGCCGCTCCGCGTCGAGAACCAGCTCCCAGATAGGCGCCTGCCACAGCACTCGGTTCGACAACGACAAAGAGAGGGGAGAGGTCCATTTATGCAGCAAGCGTCACTTTGGAGGTACTCCACTACGTTAGGATTCAAGCTTGCTGGTTTTGTCCTAACTGCTCTGTGCCTGCCTCCCGGAATTCCACCTGCATCGCTGTAGCATCATCAGAAACCACGGCTCTGTGGCACCTGCAGGTGCTGAGCTGCTAGCACGGCGACAGCTTGGTCACCGAGCACGAAGTCGCAAGCCCGACAACCACGCCTGACTGTCAATGTGGGAACTTCTTGCGGTTCCTCTGCTGCCTCCTTCGCTCGCGGAAAGGGGGCCCGGCATCATTCGACAAACATGATACGAGTCTCAGTCTCAGCATAACTTGGATATCTCCTGAGGCGTCAAGCCTGCACGTCGAGCCAGCGATGTCTTGCCTGTGCCTTGCGTTCAGCACCGCTTGCTTTCGGCTCTATGTTATGAATGTCATGAACTTAAAAAATGCGTGATGTCCAGGCCTGTGCATCCCACCATCGCAATGCTGAGCGAGTTCGGCATGGCTCAAACGGCGGCTGTGGAACATTTGTCGTTAACCAACACACGGGTAGCGTGGTGTGTCGAAAGGAGGTCTGTAGCAGGGCCTTTGCTGCTGTCCACTTTCTTGTCTCTGGCAAACTTGCTTTGCAGTGTTCTTTCGGTGTATTGGCTTGATACCGGCTTCCGAGCCCAGACAGCTTTGAACACGCACGGGTCAACGGGATCAAGAAGAAGCAAGAAGTGCAAGCGAATACGAGCAGTGGCTCTAATGCCGGCCTCTTCCCTAAAAGTAGGCGCGCCATCGCAGCGTGCTGCACAACGCCGACGCCCGCACGAGCGATGCCTAGGCAAGCGGAGCTCGAAGAGCAGCAGGCTGAATCCGGCGAGGCAACCAAGCTCTCGGCTAAAAATCACGAGGCCACAGGCCAGCACCATCTCGGTCCTGGGCTGCAGACTGGGCAGAGCGACTGTGCCTTCAAACTGACTAGGTGTTGCCAGAACCGAAGTCTGCGCATCAAGGTGCAGATGCGGCGCCGCGTTGGCCGCCTGAGGTTGTAAAGTGTCCGTGAAGCAAACCAGTACATCCGTGCTTGTTTCAAAACTGGTGCCGTTGAGTCGAGCACGCAGACTGCACGCAGTCGGGGACTCTGCTTGCACGATCTGTTGCGGCCAAGCAGCCCATAACTCTAACCCGGCCACGAGCACCAGCTGCCCGAGAAAATCGCCCAACGGGACGAGGACTTGGACCAGGCCTGGAAAGCTCAGTCAGGTCACGTGACCATTTACGAAGCGTGCCCGTTCACGTTAATCCTTCCTTCCTCTGTTCCACCTTCGTGTCCCTTCACCCGCATTGACTGCCGTCGCCTAGAAGCCTGGGAAAGTCCAGAGTGGCTTTGGTGTGCTGGAAGCAAAGCAACAGTCAAAGGTGGCGGAGGACCAGTGACTAGAAGTAACTGGAAGGGCTTCGAACGGTTTTGAACTGGCCGGCTCCTGGTGAGCCAGGGGCAATGGGGTACTGAGATGAAGACAGCACAAGCGAAGGGGAAGGGATAGGTCGGATGTCGCACGTGCCAAGAGGCTGCCAACTGCTTCACTGAAACATTACTTTGAGGCATTGCTCTTGGGAGCTGGCAGACTGGAGCCAATTTAAGGAGGGGTGCTCAATCTTCGCATCACTTCGTCAGATCGCAGCCTTTTCCCGTTCCCTGCCCCACTTCGCGACTGTGACAACCGCTTTCCGTCCCTCTTGATCCTACCACCCTTTTCAAGCACAAAACGAGGAATCGGCGGCTAGTGAGTTTGCGATGCCGCTGCGTAGAACCAACATAATAAGCCTCCTTTGGCATCACTCAGATCGTTAAGCCTCTTGTTCCGGGCTCGGGGAAGTACCTGATGGAGGGCCCTCCAAGCACCCTGCCAGAAGTCTCTGTCTCTCGATCCCCTCCCTTCCTCCCTCCTTCCAGGCATAAGCATTTCACACGGATGGTCTTGTCCCATTCCTACTCAGCGATTTCTGGTGACAACCCAGCATCTTCGACCTTGCATGACTCTACACAGCATTGTTGCAAGGCACGTTCGGACCAAGTGTAGGCCATTCCCCACAAGACCTGTCCGCAGCATCAAGAGTCATGACTCATGACCCCAAAAGCGCCGAACTGACTCGACGGCCCCTGAAGCGTCAAGGCGCTGGTGCAACGATTGCACCCAGCTGTGGGGAGGCAGCGATCATCGAGTACCTGAGCTGCACAGAACCTCTGAGCCTGACGAACAAACTTCCTCCATCTAAGATCCATCCTATGCATCTCACAAATGTGACAGAAGGTTTCGCTTTATTCACGACATGCCCATACCTGAACGAAATCGTTCTTCGAAAGAGACGGTTTCCAAGCAACAAGAAGCCGACTTCAGATGGTAACCCCAGACCTGCACATGCAAATGCTGAATGCTATGTTCGCGTGCTTCCACCAGTCAGCCAGTCCTGAAAACGATGTTTCAACCAGGGCACAGCAGCGCCGACATTCCCTGCAGATACTGCGAAGCTTGATCGCTTGGAGTCTAGGCACAGGCTTCCCTAGACAAGTTGCTAACCTCAATTCTAGAGGTCCTAAACCCTGCAACCTGAGCTTGCTGACCCGTCTTTCAACCCATAAAGCAAGAAGGCAAGCTAAACTCGCCTCCGCTTCCAGAAGCGGTGCTGCCGGGGCCAGTGCATTCTTGCTGCTGTGGGCACCTCAATTCAGCTGGTTATGATGTCGTTCGAACACTGCTAATGCCAATCATGTTGTGCCGCGGCGGAGGGCCTTCGACACTGCACTAATTTACCCAATTGTCTGCCACTGCGGGTGAGACACCTCTTTGCTAGAAGTCATCAAGTCTCAATGATAGGCACGCTTGATGTTAAGTAAACGATGGCCAAGGTTCCAAGACCGATGAAGAGTACCAGCACAACGCAAAGTCCGGATGAAACGCCTGCATGACAACTTGGAAGCCACAAAGTTGCTCAGAAGCCGATCGCATGTTGCGTTGTCCACAGCCCAAAACCACACAAGTCCAGCCTCCAGTCCAGCTGGGTGATGACGGGTGTCGCTCTCCCGCATCGGAATCGACATCCCAGAATCGCATAGATTCGCAGTTTCGACACGCTACAGCGCTCTCTTTAAGAAGGCCTGTATGCTGGGATTGACTGCAGGACATTGGCAGCTCTTGCCCTCCTACAGGCTGTCGGCCGTTGTCTTTTTTATCGTTCTGGACAGCTTGGAATGTCTCTCTCTCTGAGAAGCTGCGTGAGCCGACAGTCCAGGTCACAGCGGGCAGCGACATCAAATGCTACCCGGCTACCTGCCGTCACGATGCAAACAGCTCATTTCACGACGGCAATCCCCGTGCAGGATTTACCATTGCAACGACCGAGTCTGGAGCTTTCCGTCGCAGAGGCGATAGCCCACACAACTCCTTTGACTCAGCTGGGAGGCACGAAGCCAGGAGAAAGTGCGGTACTGGTTCTTGAAGTAGCCCAACTACTCAAACCTGGCAAGCATTCCCCATCCTTCAAAGCAGACAAGACCTCCTCGTCACTGTCCACCTTCAAAAGAGACTGGCCGACACTTTGAAACGGTTGTCCGCGAGCCCCTTATGCAACACCAGGCCTTGTGATGCAGTGACAGGTCGAGGAAGACCAAGGCTACAGAAGGCAACCGGGCAGCATCCAGCCTGGAAATTGTACGCAACTCAAACTGCGACGCTGAATCGCGCATGGCACTGGTGGCAAGCATATAGAGGGAACTGCATTCTAGAAGACGGAGACGGACATTTGGCACAGCTCAAGCGGTGTGACAAATTTGAACTGCCTACAGAAAGCACACGTTGATTGGGATGCACAGTTACCTGTCATTGCACTTGCTATACTCTGTTTCGTGCTCATTGTGCAAAACCCTGGGCCCACCCGAGCCGACGTAACAGTGCTGACGGAGGAGGAACGTCGCTGCGTGATGACCTGTGGAGACTTGTGCTTCACGGCGAAATTTCGCATTCTTGAACCGCTAAAAAGAGATTTGAGCGACAGACCTCGGAGCGTGTGTCGCAGGCTCAGAAGCAGCTGCCCCTTGAGTGCTCAAGCAACTTGCTGTAGGACTGTACGCCTTCAACAAGACTGGAACTCCAGCCTCGCTCCAGGGTTTGGGTCCTTTCCACAATCATGCGGTCAAGCTCCTGTCAGACGCAGGCCGCGGGGAAGAGTCAGCAATCGACTCAAAGGAATTCGGCCTCGCGAAACTGAACAAGCGCTGCATGTGGAGACCTCGTGTCCCGACTCCCGCTGACGGCTCAACGACTCGTTGGAATGGCACTGGGTAGCTAGCGAGGAGTCGTAACGCATCGTCAGAAGGTCTCTGGCCTCACGTCTGAACGAACGATGAAAATAGTTGTGCACAAAAAGGGCGAATTTACTGCACTGATTGTACGAATCTACGGACACCAGTTGCACACCTCAGCATCTGCCATCAGCATCTCCCACTGGCGCTCCAGGTCGGCCTGTTGCGATGTGCAGTGAGCAGGCGTGGCAGGGACCCGCATGCACAGAGTCACTGGCCTTGATTTGTGGGAGTTTGGATGCCCGGAACTGCGCCCAGCTGACGCGCCGCGGGGCCTCCCGCGGTCCCGTCCCGGCTCGCGAAAAGGAGCTTCCTGGGTTGCGCCTGGCGTCGCTTCGGGGCCTTGCCAGCTGGCACGAGCGGCGCTAGCTGGCCGGCTGGCGTCGCCAGTTTCTGGGTGTCGTTACTCGAAGATCCTGGCCATCACGATCGCACAGAACTCTGTATGAGTTTGACTCAGGGTCGCTGAGTTCATGGTGTATCGAGATTATTCGAACATCAGTGCAGCCAGAGATCCAGGTACCAAGGATTGCTCTTCGGTCTTCATGGCACTGATGACGCAGTCGGTTTCTGTTGCGCAGCTCAGCATCCGATCGCAGCACTGCCTCTCCTGCTCGACAACTCAGAAGCCCGGTTCATGAATCGCAGTGCACGCTTCCAAACTCCGAAAGCTCCCACCTTGAAGAGCGAACCAGGTGTGGACAGAGCTCGAGGCAGTTAAGAACAGAAGCACAACAATATGTCACTGATCCAAAGCTGTAGTCTCTCAGCCGCTAGACTGCCCCGAAAGAATCTGTGTCCACTCCCTTGACGGTGCTTGAGTCAGTGCAAGCATGAAGCAGTGTACTTTACCGAGTAGAGAGTCCCGAGAACGGGGTACTTGTACGGCAAACGATTCGCTGGATTCGTCGTGCAGGAGAGTACAACTGGGCAGGCTACTTCATGAGGCTTTTCCAGCAGTTTGCCCCCCCCAGAATTTCCTGAGAGATCCTTCTGGTGAGTTCGGGAACTTCTCTGATAGAACATGGCACAAGCTCCAAGACCTTCAGATCGTTCGATGGACGGCCTGGAGAATTCGTGGCAAGTTCGAACTCTGCTTGGCAGATCCGGTTGAATTAGTGTCCGCCAGTAACCATAGCGAGCAAATACGTAATTGACGAGGCGGTGCTGCTCAGTCGGAAGCCACAGCATTCGGGCTACGATGCGGACAAAGAAGAATGGGAGAGAGAGACAGAGAGGCGGAGAGGCAGATGCACACAAGCTCCACGTTGCGAGGTGTGCAACTTGCAATGGCGCATGCTGACGAATTCGATTGAAAAGGGGTGCTAGGTTGATTGAGATCGTGGACGGCTGAATTTGGGCCTTTGGCCAGGAATCTCTGTGTGGTACGGAAGTCGAACGAGTCCCAGCTCCTCTGCGCCTGGGCGATGATATCTCCGATGAAACGCAATTACAAGACCCTATATGAGCACGGCCATTGTCTGAGGCACATGCTCTCTTTGCCGAACTCTGACTCCAGCTGCGCAAGCTCATATTCCAAGTCATCGAAATCATCTCCTGCCGTGCTCACGAAGAGTAGAGTCCCAAAGATTTCACATCAAGTAGATTTGTAGAGGATTCCAAATTTCCCATTGCTGTCGTCCTAGAAAAAGCATTCGTACTTGACTTCAAGATGAGAACACCCAGCTGCGGTTTCTCGGAACTCGGATGATGTGGGTCAAGCATTTAAACACATTCGGATGGTCAGCATTAACAAATGGTGGCTACGAAGCTGAGAAGGATCTCCACGACAACAGCAATTCTGACATGGATGTCTGAACGATTCTGCAATGCTGGCTGGCAGCCAATCCAGCCTGCGCAGACCTCTGCCTTCTCCTGAAGTTTCACCGCTTCCTCCTGCAAATAGAACGGCAACCAGAGTCGCGCACCGGATAAAGTTGCCCCTGCCTTGGCTGCTTGGAGATCGACGTTCGCCTGCCCGAGCTGATCCTGCATTGTCAGAAGGAAGGCCTGCATCAGTGCCGAAAGCCCTCGCTGGAGCCTGCAGATCCTGCATTTTGCCATGAAGAGCTTGCAGCTCCTTTCCAAGCAAAACTTAACAGCTGCTGCATATGTCCGTCATGAATTACGGTATGCGCCTGATTGAAGTTTGACTTGAGGTCCCCCTCAGCAGCTTTGGCTTCCTCCGACGGAGATCGCAACCGTGAAGACCAGACGCCGTTCTGCAAGGCCTGCCTCGACCTTCTGCAGCAGCTGGCGACGCTCCCGCTCACGTGCCTCCTCAGCCGGTCGCTCGGACCGGAAGGCCTCCACTGCCTACAGCGATGCGCAAGCCAGAAAGGATTTTTGGGGAAGCCTTGCAGAAGGTCTTCAAGTTCGCACTGCTCAAGGCTTGGCCTTTTGCAGCCTCCGCTTTCCAAACTAAAGCCAACCCACTACTGGTCCCACAGTCGTTTGGTGTCCGGAAATGCAGCCGTTGCCTGCTTCAACGCGATGTTTGGCTGCAGCGTGCGGCTGGTCAATGGAAGCTGCGTCATAGGAGCGAGGAGTGTTGGCGGCATCTTCCTGGTGCTACGGCATTGTTACGGCGGCTCTCCACTTGCACATACTGGCACACATGACGGGATGGGATTCTGTCCAAACAAACAAATGCACGCACCCCCATCCTGCTGTGAGGCGCAATGTTTGCAGGCACTTCATAGAATTCGCGGACCCTGCACGCTGCAACAACTTGGCAAAGCTGATTTGCTGGGATGGTAACACAAGCCACAAGACTCGGCCAATGTCTGTTTGGGCCCGGCCTGGAATCATGAGCGCCGAACCAACCCAAGATGCATCCACGACAGTACGAGTGGCCGTCTTCGGTGAAGACCGGATCCTTGCCAATATCATAACATGCCCAAGCATGGCACAGAGCACGTGACAGCAATCGTCCTTGAAAGGGTCCCTGCAAATCACACATAGCAAGCCGTGCGGGATCGGCAGCCTGTGCAAGCATGATGCGCATCTGCAAAGTATGCATGGAAACACGATGCCACTTCGTTCCAGCGCATGATGCTAGCTGCGAGCAAACGTCTTGATCCTGATCTCGTACTGTTTAAGACGCAACCCATTTTCACCAGGTGCCCGGGCAAGTCTTCGTCGATGGAAAGCGTCTTTGGCTTCGCCTCAATGACCGCAAAACTTCGAGCTCGAACGTGGCTCTTGCTGTGATTGCCTTGCCGTGGTAACTGGCTATGCAAATCACCGATAGACGATGGCCTTTGGTTTTGGCTTCGCCTTCTGCTTTGCGCGACTTGCCTGCTGCAAGGCCATCGCATGACACACGTAGTTCTTAAAACTCGGGAATATCTTGCAAATCCACCTTTTCGCCTCTCCAGCTCCCAGCCTCTGCAGTGGAAGACGAAGGTTGCACACCCAACGCAGGAGCGGATCTGGCTGTGCCCAGATCTCGGTTGGGGCGCAGAGCCTCCAGGGGCTGATTAATATCGCTTCATGAAGCCTAAACTAGTCGTCGCACAGCATGCATTGCCGGTCTGTTTGACTGTTAGGAAGCTTGCCAGATCAAGCCTGCGCTTCTGTTGGTGCTCGGCCGTTCGCAGCGGGAGCCGCCCTGCTTGCAGAAGGCCGGGCCTGCAAATGAAACTCAAATATGAAAGTCAGAAGAGTCTCACGCACAGCATGCGCAGCTGTCGGGTGTAAACATGAAGCACGAACCTGCGCTGGATATCCATTCCGACGAACACTGGAAGACGTGCTCATGGACAAGGATGAATCACAGTCCCTGTAAACTAAGCAATCTACAGCTGCAAGGAAATGAACTCTTGTCGACCGCATCCAAAACCAACCTGGCTACCCCAGAACGTGAATCGAGCACACCACACGACTCCGACTACTACGCGCTACATCTTCAATCACACTGGATAAGCTCTTGGTCCCTTGGACAAATGCCCCAACTTAACCTTTGCCTTGTGCTTCCATTACGCATAGAGCCATAACGTTGCTGCAGAAGGCCCACAACACGGTTACTCAGGCTCTCGGCCACATGAAGACAACATGTAAGCTGCCATGTCGCATAAACACTCAAGGTGGGGGGGGCCAAAGAGAGGCGCCCACCTCCTGACCTTGTACAATGCTGACACCACTTTGTGTGGTGGCACGGGGGGTGAGGAGCCTACCCCCCCTTCCCTTAACTATTCTGAAAAGACCCAATAAGATCCAGGGCACGACTTCGACCTAGTGAGTGAATTGCAAACGAGAACTCCCGCAAGATCCACAGAGCTAGCTTTCGCGACAGTATCGTCTCGCTGCTTGCCCTTCTTTCGAGCACCATCTTCCAACATCCAAGCGACACCGCAGCAGGAACAGTCGGAACTGTCAAAACCAGGGCTTTCACTTGGCTTCCAGCGACCACAGGATGGGTTTCCGCTGGAGTTTCCATAATGCAAGTGTCGAGCCCCAAGCAAAGGAGCTCAGTCACCGGTCACCAGCACTGCTTTTGCTTTTTCCAACTCATCGGCTCCGGCTCTTTGCCAGGCGCGCAAGCTTCGTTGGGAGCAGGCCCACCTCAGCCGAGAAACAAACACGCGTAGTCACCGGCACCGCCGGCACCGGCGCGAAATGAGGAGCGGACCATCTCGGCACAGAGCTTCAGCTCCATGGACATGTTCACGTCGGCTTCAACCACCTGGCCCAGCGCATCGGCTCCGGGTGGCCTCGAAAAGCCCTCGACACCGACATGAAACTAGCATGCCTCCGGATTTCGGTCGCCGTATTGGAGGATCTCTTCGTATTCTTTCAATGCCATCTTGTGCCTCAAGAACCCATAAAGTGCATGGTCTTTGGAAAATGCCACAACGGCCAAAAAAATACTCACATCCCCAGGTCGGGTGCACAGGAGATGCTTAGCGTCGCACTCCTCGATGTTGTCATCCGTGGGGAGTCCTTCACTCAACTACAGGAGCCGCTGTGGTCGCAAGTGGTTTTGGCCCTCTGTTAGGCTATTCGATGAGTGTAAGTCACCTCTCATTTTCGTGCGAAGACGCGCACGATTCAGCTTCCCGATCAGGTACCTGATGCTGCACTGGCATGGAAACCTGGCCATCTCGCTTCGTCAATATTCAGGACGGAACGTGCTGGCGTGGTCTTTCTCCACTTTCTCTGCAGTTGCGCCATCCTCAGTGCGCTCCGTTGCCAGAGAGCAAACGCCCAGTGACGGATGCTGGACGCTCGTGCAGCACTGGCATGACCGAGATCACGCGCAACACAGCCCGGCACTGGCTGGTAGCTCTCCAGGAAGATCCCATAGTGCTTGATGGCCTTTCTCGCCAGCTCGTTGCACCTGGACATATCGTTTACAAAACGATCCCCATGCAGACAGCTCTGCTTTCAACTGCTTCACGCCTCGCTGCCTTCTTTACATCCACTGCCGAATCGTCCTGAGGCACTTTCTGATTCAATGTTTCGATTCCATGGTGTGGTGCTAGGAACTTACCGAGCCAACTTGGCTTTGTATGTTTCGTCCATCGTTCCGACTCCTAACTACACTATTATAAGATTTGAAATTGCGCCTGGATGCCACTGCTGAGATCTCCGCCGTCACGCTAGACAACCGATTTCCGGCTGTACTCGTTGATCCACGCACAGCGTTTGCAACTCTGGCAGAATGACATTATTGCGAATTCGAGTACTTGTAGTTCTTACCAAGCACATCATCCCTGCATAGAGGGATGTGTCAGCACTGGCTTTCGCGTTTCGGCCTCGTCGTCATCCAAGGAGTTGAGAGACCGGCTCCCGGGCCTGGATGTTGGAACTCTCTCTCAAGGACAGGCAGGCAGCTCCTAAGATGTCTAAGGCCTAAGGAACCGGCATCTTGCCCTTGCCTTTCAATTCGAAGAGCTCCTTTCGAAAACAAGACCCGCAACGCCTGCAGCTACTGCGAGATCTGTCCTGGTAGATTTCGGCAGATGTAAAAGACAGCTGACGCCAGAACCTAGCTCAAGGTGAGAGAGGCAAGTCGCTAACTCCGAGGTCATACGTCACTTGCCACATCGCTCCAACGCACAGGGACTACCTGAAGCGATTCAGACACGCCCCAGCCACAGAGTCTGTACTGAGGCTCCCGACGCCACATAAACTTTTGGACTGAGCTGCTCCAACAGTGGAGTCAGGAGTGCGGCCTCAGCAATATGAATATCAAGGGTTTTCAGGGTACCAGTAAGAGTGTGGCAGCGCGAGCCTTGCATGCCTTGCAGATCCGCTTTGCTTTGACTGCAACTTGAACACCCCTCCCCGATATCCGGTCAGTACCTTTGTCATCGAGTGCCTTGCTGGCATGGTGCTCCCTACGCGGCTACATAATCGGGACTCCCCAATCAGGACCTCCACTGCCCAGAGACTCTGCACTAGCAACTGTCTAAGGCAGTACATTGTGCAGCCTCGGCATCGGCTCCAGTTCTGTCGATTTCGAGTAGCCGTCTTTGATTCTACAGGGGACGGCCGAGACTGCTCACAGCACCGTTCCCATCAGAGGAGAGACGTCTGCCTGACCAGAGGAAGCCAGGACGACGTCACGAGGTGACACGGGAAAGTCTCCGACACGGCCTCGAAGCGGCCGAGCGCGTCACGCTGTGTCTCCTCCAGGGCTGACTACAGCCAGCCAAAGAAGGTCAGTCTTGGGCACTACCGTTGAAACACGCCTCTGGGTCTGGAGTTTAGAGGTGAAGGGTTAAAAGAGAATAAAGGAAGAGACTGCACTTGGATAGAGAAGGCCGTGCCCAGATCGTCCATGACATCTCGGCAACGTGCACATGTCGGCACCGAGTGCTCCAAGTTTCTCCCGAACTTATCAGAGCTACCTGGTCAAGCGTCTGGGACATTGAGGATTTTGTAAGGACTTTGGCGAACCATTTGAGCCTTAAAAAATTACAAAAACCTACTCGATTGCTCAACACCGGCACTGCATCCCAAGTCGCAAGCTTGATGTCTTCAAGCACTTGCAGGTACGAAGAAACATTCAGACACCAAGGCGCATCGTCGCTCGGCTGGTCGCGGTCGGCTGGTTGGTAACTCACGCTGGGCTTCCAGTCGGCAGGATTGTCCAATTGAGATGTGCAACTCTGGAGGAGCCAATTACCCCAACCGAAAGCAGAAAGCACGATGCCACTTGGCCAGGCATCACGAAACGCGATGACACAAGCAGGGAATGCAGCCCAACGGGGAAAACGACACCCTCTCGCCGAGGACTTTGTCGATTATGGGAAGACGAGGTAATTGTTTCTAACCTATCCCGCGCCGCCACAGAAACAAACATGAGGAGATGCCTAACCGACTACCGAGCTGTGCCTTGATTCTTCTGCCATCTTACATAAACCAAATATGAAACATGAAACAACCCCAGACTCCCAGCCCAAGGAGTCAGGCCATGCGTTGTCTTAGCCGTCAAGGGCCGCCCCGGCAGAAGTGAAGTCGTTCTCCGCGCGAAGGTCTCCGTGGGCGTGATGTAGAGAAGACCGGAGACGAAGCCAAGCCAAGCCCCCAAGTAACACTTACACAGTTACACACCACAATGCTAGCCCTACTCTCGTGCCCCAAAGCTTGACACATGGGACGGCTGGGAGTAGCACGAATGTCCTAGGTCCCTCATACACCCGAAGCCCTGAATCGGAGATATCATAAAACGTAGCTGCCGATCCCCATCCCGCTCCTCCTCTCGTCCAAGTTTCCTTCGTCCAGAAGACGTTGAGAGACAAACTCCAGAAGGGCAGAAGGATGCACGGCTTTCATTAAGCAAGTGATGGCAAGATGCCCTGATAGTTTTCTTGGAGCCTAGAACACGAACCAAACGATCGAGGACTCTTCAGCAGTTGAAATCATGCACCCCCTGAAACAAGGAGGTGTGCTCTTGGCACATGTCAACTGGACTTCCAGACTGTACAACTGCTTCGCATTGCTTCGCCAATTGAGGGAAGGAAGATGTGGAGAAGTGATATTGGAAATCTTGCGCAGCACTGGCATTGCCTTCTGACCTTCTCCAGGTCTCCCTTCGTATCTGACAGCGGTAAGAAGCAAGAACTCCGTCTCCTTGACTCTGACAAAAAACCATTGAGTTCATATGTGAGACTTAGTCGTAGCAGTACTTGATGGTTCAGCTTAGTGGTGTCGAGAATAGGACTCCTTGCACTAGTGCTACGGATGGACATCTGGACAGTACGCTCAGGTGCAAATGATGCCAAAACCGCCCGGCCGTGCATTCCAGACAGTCCCCTGGCTGCCAGTGTAGCCTCGCTGCATGCAAGAGCACGCACTTTGCCCTGGCAAAGTGAAAACTGTAGACCAAGTAGCTGCGAAGACTGGATGCTTCTCTCAGCAGTTTTCACCAGCGGCACTCGTGAGATGGTGAAGCCAAGTTTTCAAAGAACCTGCAGGGCCCAAGCAGGAGCCTTTCGCCAACAAAGCGCGGCGTCGCATCAAAAAATCACCGAACCTTACAGGATCCCACCGCCCGGCAAGGGACCACAGCGCCTCGAGGTTCGGAATGCCGCCGTCCGACATCGACACCCATCCTCGCATGCACACAGAATCAGAAGCCAACCCTGCAGCATACAAAACAAGGACGAGAAAGCGTTGGAGATGAAGGGAGATGGAATCTGGAATGGAAGGCAGAACCCCAACCCCTATAGAACGACTGCTCAATTTTCGAGGCAGCTGAAACGGGGCAGGCCAAGAGCCAAGAAGCCAGTTGCATTCGCACCCTGCAGCTTTGATTTCAGTCGGGTGACCTCGCACAGGGGGCTCAAGGAAGATACACAACTGACCTTGGCCAGGCCCTGAGTGAGACCGAAGCACCCCCAGCCAAAGTGACCGGCTACAACTCCCGGGCATCATGGGGATCCAGTACAGCATCCGTCATTCTCCATGGTGGCCCCCGGCATATGCTCTGAGCTTTCGGCTGCAGCTGGCGTGCCCTCCTTCACGCGCTGCCAAGCAAGCACCTGCGAGGAGCGCAGCCGAGGTTTGGAGCCTCAAAGACTTAAAGAGGCTGCGGACTCGGTGACTCGGTGACTCGCCTCGAGGATCTCGCCCTCCATCAGCTGCCGTACGCCATGTTCGCCTTCCGGATCTTCTGGGAAGTCTGTGAACCGAGACGGCCGGATCACCTCACAGGGAATCTCACCGGACCGGGACAAAGGTGACATCTTGGACGCTCTTTCAGCCCAGTCCCGCCTTGAAGAGGTTGCCCCCCGGCATCAGGAAGGTGATCCTGTGGCTCGCTGTGCTTTGCACCATCGACGTCACGTGCTGAGTGATGAGACTTTCCAGGTCCCGGGAGTGGGGACATCCCGAAACGTGCGAACAACACGTGGCCGCTACGTAGCCCTCTACCCTGCGATTCGAAACGACCCAGACAGCAAAAACTTGGCCATTCGAGGGAGGATGCTCCACGACTGGGCCATCTCAAACTCCACAGGCGCCTGAAAATCGGGCGCCTGTCTCTTCGCAGGGATAGAGACCAGAAGCCCTGAAATCTCTATCAAAGCCTCCTACTCTACCAAAGGGTCTTTGACTTTGCTTTACACAAGCAGTTTTCGGTCGGCAGAGGTCCCCTGGTTGCCGGCCACCGTCACCCAGCCAGTGATGCCGTCGCGCAGAGCTTTGCCATGAATCCGATAGACCCCCACAGATGGATCCAGCATCGGACCTGAAATGAATCGCTGGAATGTCACACGGTGACACAAGCTGTGCTAAGCAAATCAAGAAAAAACATATGCCTGGCCCTCCCTCTTGCTCGTTTCGAGCCTTGGAAAACCTCCATGACTTCGCCGACGTCCATCCGTCTCAGCTGCTCGCTCTGCTCAATAAGCAGGTTGTCAGAGAGCACGATCTCCTTCACCACCTGAGTCTGTGAAGATCTTCGAAGTTTCAGCGGCCTTCGTCGTGCTGCGGCGGCCATCTAAATGTGCCTTGTAGAAGATCCGGATCACGTGCATGAAATCCTCCTTGCCTGAGAGAGAGGGAACCAAGGCATGAAGCCCACATTTTCACCGAAGACTGCTCCGATCCGAGGAGCTGATCTCAGGCTGTTGAGACTCTTCCTGGCCATCGCCCTGAGCCTGGCCAAGAGCCCTGTGCTCTCCACACTGTACATGCTCTTTACGAATGGAATGGCCTTGGCCTCCTTGGACTCGGAGGGCTCAGAGCCACCGGGGCCGCTGGGGAACATGGCATCCAGGTGCGCCTCCTCGATCACGGACCTTACGGCTCTTCGGGGATTGCCCGCTCCTTTGCCCCAAGGTATCCAAGGAAGGAGCTGATTGGCCTCAAGGTAAGCCTTGATGGCGCTTTTGGTAATCGTGCCGCCACCAGCCGACTTCACTGCGTCATAGAGGTCGTCGGGCTGGCGAGAATCTTTTGAGTTCATGAACGGTCTGGCACCCTCCGTAGGTTTTACCCCCGTACAGTTTGAGCACCAGCACTTGCAGGAGCCCTGCCTTCCCACCCTGCGTCTCGATGCAGACCTCGGCCGTGAATAGAGCAAGAGCTGCGGCTCTCTATACGAAATTCAGAGCCGCTGGCTCGCAGTTTAGCAGCCACCTCCATTCGAAGGCCCTCATACCTGGATTGTCGGAAAGTTTTCAACTTCCACCATGTTCGCGGGGCTGGACTCCGAGCTCGTAGCAATGCGAAAGCGCGGTGCAGTGCCAGTTGGCGAGCCTGGCCAGCGGAAGCCAAGGCCTGCCGAGGAAAAAATTTCTAGGATGGCTCGGTGGCTCGGCGAGCAAATCTCATCACAAGAGCGATTTAGTCTCTCAATGTATCGCACAAAGCGCCTTTCGAAGTGCCAGATCTTGGCTCTCGGTCTTCGCTGCCAATGCCTGCCATTTTGGGGATCTTTGGGGTTTGGCCGTCTCTGACTGTCGGGAGCTCCAGAACTTTGCCCGGCATGGCAAAATCAGCAGAGCCTGTGCTCCAAACCCGGCCGAATGAATCTCTCAGTTACACGAAGGGGGATATGATAACAAGCAGAAGCCGGTGTGACTGCCAGCTCCGGGGCCATGTGCTCCACCATCTCAGCATCCTGCGATTGGTCACAAGGGCCCCGCCCATGCCGCAATGCCAGCATCTCAATGCACTGCGTGCACTGCGTCCGTGCCTCGGCTACCTTGGTGCTGAGCTCCTGCGCTTTCAGCTGCACTGCGGCGATTGCGCTGTGCCTTGCACGGGACCGGAACCCAAGCGACACTTAACTGACTTAACGTAGCAGAAGGCAAAGTTGAGCTCTGCACGTGGCTTGTACTGCGGTCTCGATGACCTGAAGCCTCTGCTTGGCTTCCTGAGCCTTTGCTGTCTCAGCCAGAAGGGTGGCAGAAACAAAAGTCCTTTCCACTGGATGTCGTGAGCCTCGCGGATTTTTCCAGCATTCGCCTCCTCCACCATGGCCTGGCCGTTTCGCTGGAGTCGTGCTGACTCTTCTATACACAAGACGCAGACCCAAGCAGAACTCTGTTAGAGTCGCCTCGGACATGGATTCCGCGGAGGCGATGGTGGGCTCGAGCTCCTGGAGCTCAGCCATGAGGGCCTGGCACACAGTGGCAAGAGATGGAATGAGTCAGCTGTACAGATGTTGCCAGGATCACCACAGGTCATGGTTGTAGCAGAACACAGCAATGCAAGAGGCCACTACAGTCAGATTGAAGGCCTGGCAAGCCGAAGAATGCGCCGCATGGCGCGCGCGGATTTCCGCCTCCTTCTGCTCTCGCTCCTCACGCCTGCGAGTTCGGGTTCCAAGCGTTGCGAGTGGTTTGGTGGCAGGTCCAGGTTCCGCACTCTTTCCGCTCACGCTCCAGGCGAAGCTCACGCTTCGCCTTGCTTTTCTCCTGGAACATTCAGAAAGCTTCGAAAGTGCGCCACACTGTCGAAGATGAGGCGCCTCTTCCCTTGCAATGCCGACAGCAACTTTGACCAGCTGCATGGATTCGATTGCTATGCCTCAAGAGGACATGAAGGTTATGTCGTCCCTTCCAAAAACCGAGTACCCAGTGTCGGCTTCGGAATTTCCAGGCCTTCTTCTGACTGTCCACAGATTTGCCGCATAATTCGGTCCTGCAGAGAGCGCTAAAAAGGCCACTGACGCATTATTTCTGTCTCCCTCTCAGTCTGTACAGAATGCTGCGCTCGCGCAAACTCGACGATGCAATTCTGCAGGACAGCCCGAGCTCGGCACAAGATTTTCTGAGGGAAGGTCGAAGCTGAACTCACCCTTCGCATAAGCCTGAGAAGCTCGAGGCCGCAGGTAGCAGATCAGGCCGTGTCGGTCCGCTCGGTCATTCTTTCCTCTGGACCGGGCCGAGATTTCTGCTCGATTCCACCGGCCATCTGCATCCTGGCAGGCACGAATACTGGATGCTGCAAAAGATGCTGAGCAGATCGGGAGAAGACTCTGCTCGTTTTCAAGCCCCTGCACAGATGTCACGCGTCTTGCGGACTCGGCCATACCTCGTCCCTGCACAACCTTGCATCTCGCCTTCGCGGCTGTAGAAGTGATCTGTGATAGTACACAAACAAGCACAACTGCTAGACCCAGGCTGCGCTGAGTGAATTCATGCCATCTTGATGGCTGCATTGAATACGTGTGAAACGTCGTGGAGGCAAGCACCACGCGCGCTTGCCTCTGAACTGCTCGATCCTAACCCTACGGACGGAAAACTATGGCGGGCCGCTGTAGGACTCCCAAGCAACTTTGTCTAGAGTCGTAAGCCTAGAGAAGCGTATGAGCGGACTTGTGTGCTGATCCTTGCCGGCACGTTCGCTCATGCTGCCGCGCGCTCTAGGCGCCGCCCTCTGCCCCTTCCTGGGCATTGCCGGGCTCCTGTGGAGACGAGACAAAGATCAAAGAGTGCACAGTCTGGGGCATCGTAGTGGCTTTGCAAGTGTGCACCTCCTGGATCTCCGCTCGAGCATTGCTCTGCTCCTTGAACGCTTTCTTCACATCCTGCATTGACATTCGAGACATTCACAGTTCAGCTCTCATAAACGACGGAAGGGCCTTGATCCTTTGCAGAAGTCTCTTCTGATCCATGAAAATCTCCTGATTTGCTCTCTTGAGCACCTCGGACACTGGGAGACGAGGCCATAGTGCGAACGTGTCGGAGCATCCTGGCCTGAATGTATTCACCATACGTCTCTTTGTCGACAAACTCGAACTTACCCTCCAGGGGAACTCTCTGTGGAAGTGCACTGTCCCGCTCGAAAAGAACCTGGGCCTTGGCAACCACATCCTCGACGCACTTTCGGCAGCGATCAGAAATCACATCTGAGCTCATGCCGAGAATCGTGACCTGGTTTGAACAAAAGGCACAAAATGCACGGGAAGCAAGCGCGTGACATCACATGATGGGACACCCATCATGTTCATAGTGGCGGGTCACTGTAGCAGCATCCAGAGCTCCGTCTCTGTCGTTCTCCGCACCTGCAGCAAGCTAGCTCTGAAGGGTGTGCAGCCGGACAGTTCAGATGTCGACATGAGTGCCTTTTAGCCTGCTCTCGTAGGCCACCTTGTCATCACCCTGACATGGAAGAGAAAAGCAGAGTCTCGGACGATGTCCAAGGAAGAGTCTAGCCATAATACCATGTCTCGAAAGCTCCAAAGCCTCGGCATCGCTGTACTGACACCGCAATCTCATGGCAATCTCCTTGGTCGCGCAGGCATGCATGTCAATCGCAACTGCGAAAGAGTTTCCCTTCCATCCCTGTCCAGCTGCCACTGGCTTGTTGACGACTGCAATCGCCTGCAACCCCAAACAGCTCTGCACGTGCTACGGAAGGAGGTCAAAAAAAGCTGACAGCGCCCCATTCGGCGCTCCTTCTTGCAGTCGTTGAGGGTTTTATGTGCGTCCATGAGCATCTTGTGCTCCGGACCATAATCATCCTGCAGCTTCTGCAGCAGCTATTGTGCGGCTCTCAAGCTCCATTGGCACAGCTGGGTGCGCCTCCAAGCTCAAGGGCGCATCCGGCAAGTCACGCCAGTTCTTCGATTCTGCCTGCGGCACTAACTGGCTTTACGGGATGCGCAAGCTGGGAGTCTACGGCAGCATGGGTTGCAAAGTTTCTTGAGAAAGAGCGGGTGCCTGTGCCATGGAGGCAGCCAAGGAGTCTGGAACCCGGGCACCACCGAGAGGCACGGCCTTGGCGCAGGTCCACTCTGGAAAGGAAGCGGAAGCGACTGCTTGCTGCTTGCACTCCCGGGAGCGCACTGTGGAATTTCCGTTGTGGAACTTCGGGTTGCTTCGGTCAAACTGCTCGGCAAACTCAGCTCCACCTTTGCATGACAGAGGACTCGGGGATCCAACTTCTCTGTTCAAACACTCAACCAAGACGCTCTCGGCCAAGTCCCGGCAAAACTGCATGATGTCCTCATGCTCACATGGAGACCAACGTTTTGCGAGTTTTTCCTTGGCATTGTGAGGCGCCGGCCGTCCCTTCTGGAACATCAATGCCGTCGGGCCTTGCAGGTCAGCTTCAGCGCTCAGAGAGCACGAAAGGTGCACAGGCCAACACATGTTGAGTGGGTCTCGACACTGCGGCTTGGCTGCAGAATGCCACGCGGAAGTCTTTGAGGAGGCATGGTGCCTGACACACATCGGAGGATGGAGTGCGGCACACGCAGACCATTAACCTATGATGCAACAGCAAGTGACGCTTGCTCATCGCTTACATGGCTTACATCACCTCGTGAATTTCTTACCATCGCAGACATGCCGAGTTGAGCCCTGCACGTTTGCGAAGCTGACCCGGCACAGTAGACTCCGTGACTATCGCTGGAGCCAAACACCAACGTTGCGAAGCAGCAACCGGCTCATGCTGCAATTGCGGGAAGCGTCGTGGGCGGACAGTGCTGCAAAGATCAAGCAGCCGCATGTTGGCCTGGTCGTACTTGCTAAAAAGGGCTGTCTTCTTCTCGGTGCGCTTGGCCGTCGCGATGCGCTTGGCCTGGGCTCTGGAACCAGCCGGCGGGCTCTCCGCATGGCCGGCTTTCGCTCGCCGGGGCAGCGGCAATCCTGTCTCTGTTTTCCTTGGCTTTGTTTAATGCATCGGTGACGAGCCTCGTGGCCTTGGATATACAGAATGAAGACTTTCAGAAAGTAACGCAAGTCTCTCTGACCCTCCGAGCCGATTGGGATTCGGACGGCCTGGATCCGTGGCTGCAACTTAGCACAGCAACTTCTGAGTGCAGCAGAAATGCCAGCAACAAGGGCTCGTTTGACGAAGCGCAAAAGGAAAATGCCTTTGCAGAGACATGGCGAAAAGAGTCGCAGGTGATGCCAAGACGGACGTCCACATCCATTCTCCCCTCTCGCCCTGTCCCGATGCCACCCCGACCTTCCACCCAACCGACCCTCGAACTTCCAGCGATGCAACGAGTTCCGAATCGCCTTCCAGCAATCCTTGATGCAGTCAACACGAGTTTCTGCCTTCATAGTTGCCAAAACGCCAATCCAGAATCAGAGCCGAAGTGAAGAGTCGCTGATGCTGGCTTTGCTGTTTCAGGAACCAGCTTTAACATTACTCCGCCATCTGATTTACCAAGCCCGTCACGGCCGAGATGGCTGCCGAAGTCTCAACTCGGATGTTCTCGGCCTGACCGGAAGCCACGAACTTTCTCTTCCAACTCCCTCAGGCAAGGAGGCTCCTCCTCGATGGAGGCTTTCTTGCTGCCCAAGGTGTCCACGCACGATTGGCACGCGGCCATCGCCGACTTGCCTTCGTTTGTAGATGCTGAGAAGTTGTAAGATCGCCAAGGTGCTCTGAGAGTCTGAGCAAAAGGCCTGTTCGTTCCACCTTCTTGCACAGCTTCAGGACCTCCAACAGATGTCAAGTGAGGGCGGCAGACAGTGCAGACGCTCGCAAAAAGCTAAGAAACCGAAACCTCCACCACCTCCATCTCGTGGTCGCCAGCCTGCGGCTATCGAAACATCACTTGGGTTGTGTCACCCGTCCGCTGAAACCTAAAAGACCCAACCAGGTTCCAGACGAAAGGGGCAGCAGTGTAGTGCGCTCCTTCCGCTGAAGCCTGCAGAATGACATGCTGGCAACTGCCCGACAATGCAGGATGGCACGGCCCCCTAGGGAGAACTCTTGATAAGCATCTGCACTTCTCAAGCTTTACAGTACAGGATGATACTCTCCGTCATGTGCCACAAGCCCAGCAAGCCAGGCAATGACATCTACAACTGGCAAGTACTTCCAGACATACAGACTGGACTGATTTTCGCAGAGTAAAGCCAAATAGGAAAGCTCCACTGGCTATTAGCATGAGACAGGCGCCACCGCTACAGAGGCGAGAGCATCAAACTCTGGTCTGATTGAAATCGAAACCCCGAAACTGCGGCAACCTGTTCGCAACTGGTTTGTGGCCGCATTGCCTCTGGCCGAGCCTGCTTTATGCTTCCGTTCTGGTATTTCTAGTGGGTGGAAGTGGTGATGTTTGTAACCGGAAACATGTGGAGGCTGTTGGTACTGATCTCATTTTCACACTGGCCTCCGCTGTTGAAACCATGTTCCTGCCATCGGCCCAGACAAGAAACACTAACATACCTGCTGCTACTGCCCAAGCTATGTAAGCCAAGCCAGGCAAGCTGAAGCTCGGAAATGGCAGCCCGAGCATTGGCTTCCAGCTCCTCCTGCTTCTTTTGCCTGACAAAGAACTAGCTAAAATTGAGCCCCGGTGCATTTCGCTTGGAGCAACGATCATGCAGGCTTCCCTCACAAATTCAGGCGGGAAGGCTGCTGAAGCTTGAGCTCCTCCCACTTCTTCTGCTGCTCTCGCACCTTATGAACACACACTCAGTCAGCTGTCCAAAGCTCGCATCGTCTCGCCAGATGCTCCTCGCCCCTTTTCTACCTCCATCAGCCGGAGTATTGTAAGACCGGGCTGTTCGACAAACGTCTATAATTGATCATATCTTTGTACGAATGCGGAGTCAGCCGAAGGGCCGCCGCCGATCAAAAGCTTGAAAGTGCTTCAGCGCTCCACAGTGGGAAGCGATCTGGCTAAAACGACCACTGCAAGCGAAAGGCCACGTAGATCATGGCAGCGTCTTGAAATTCGGGCATTGGGATACATGCAGCCACAATGATTACACTGATCGCTGCTTTCACACAGTGAAGATGTCAGAGAGGAAGCTCTGCTCGCTCTGCTCAGTCTCAGTAGCTCGGCACCTCAACCACGCAGGGACCCAGGGCGGGGCTTGAAAAGCACTTGTTACGAATATCCGACTGTACATCCCCACTGAGGAGCGGACTGGTCGAAGTTCGAATTTGCAAACACTCTCGGTGCGATCGTCTGTATGGCCTACCATCAGGCCAGCGAATGCGCCGACACGAAAGCCAAGGTGGGGACATGTGCGACAAACCTTACAAGCGGTGCAGTCAAGATGCCGAAACAGCAAGGGTCTTTCCCATCGGGCTGTTGGCTTTGCGGAGCACTGCTGTAAGGGCGGCATCTTCTACCTGCTCTTCTTCTGCAAGTGTTCAGAGATCAAAATCGAAACATCGGCGTTTGGCATGAGTCCAACATCGCCTGCTCCAACAAAGTCTTCGGTGGCGCAGGGCTGTAGAACTCCTTCGGACACACTCACACACACACACACACAAACATGCTCTCAAGCCCTGAGAAAGCCAACACTCACACGATCTTGTAGATACCTTCTCGGTGGCCCATGTGCAAACAGAGATATAACGGCGTGCATCTCGTCGGGATTAGATACGGAAGTGGCATCCTGCGTGTCTTGGAAGCCTTCAGCATCTGACCCGCTCAAGCAAGTAGCTGAGACACGGAGACAAGGCTCAGCCCCGAAACGTCCTTGGATTCGACGAATGGTCCAAAGGTCCGGCTCTGCTCAATGGCTACCTCACAGGCCTGGCACACCGGTAAAAGCCGCAACCACCGCCGTTCGCCCGCTGCGTGCCGCTCTCCGCTGTTTGAAGTCGGGCTTCTATGGGGAGAGACGTCGCTGCTGCGCCTCGATGCGATCGAGGCCGCGATCGGGATTGAAGAGGTCCTCTGCTGAACGAAGTCTCAAGCTGCCTTTCCGACGCAACGCTGAAACGGTGCAAGGCTTCCTTGTTCAAGGCTTCCAGCGTCTCTTGCAAAGACTTGAGAGTTCCGGCGTACTTGGGATCGTGTGCAAGGTTAATGTGCTCCGTCGGATCGTCCTCGACGTTCCTAGCGACGTGTGCACGGTTGCTGACTTCCGCTGAGGGAGACTCTATGGGGCTTCATGCCAAGCATCACTAGGCAGCCTGCCCCGCAGTCGATCGTCCAGGTCTGTCTGTCGATTTCGGCCTGCGCTTGACGGCTGAGACACTGACGTTCGGCATGTTCAAGACTTCAGGAGTGCATCCGCCTGCGATTCGGCAACCGGCATGGGCTCTCCAAAAACCTGGTCCAGGCTTCGTGCCAAGGTAAGAACAAGTAAGCTCTGCTGCAGAAGCTGCCCTCTTCTAGCCGCAAACTCTGGACCTTCACATCTTGTTGTGGCGGCAGCGGCCCGTTTCGGTTCCTTGAACTGCAAAACACAAAAGGCACACCGCACAGTATTTTCACACTCTTGTCTTGATTGTCATGCTGAGTCTAGGCGCTTGAGCGAGTGCACCGTAGAGCAGTTCGGATAAAGCGGCCCCTGCCAGGTGCTCATCACCTGCTTGCCTTCACGGGAGAAGGAGAATCCATCAGAGTTTTGAGAAGGGGCCGGCATGGCATGGCCAGGCCTGTCACCAGTTTGAAGGGCCACCGCAGCACAGCCTGAGAGCTGAGATGCATCGGCCCTGTGCGACCAGGCTTGTCATTGACGATGTTGCCCCTAAGCGCAATCACGCTGGACACGCTCTGGTGGTACACAGGGCCCCTTCACAGAACACCCTCAAGCGTACAAGACCAGGTCGCCATTGCGGCATGCTCTCAACTGGATGAAGCAGCGGCAAGCCCTTCCTGAGACCACGACAATGTGACGATGTCGTGTTGCCGGACAGTGGCTACAGCACCAAAAACAGCACATATTTTGGCTGGGACTCTCCTTTAGGAATTGATTGGCCTTGTCGGATTTGTGATCCGTCATATCAACGCCCGCCAACTGCGTGAGTGTACCATACCTTAACCGGCATGCCAATGAATTCAAGTGACAAGTGCCAGCACTGTTGTGTAGGTGTCCATATTTGTATAGATATACTCGACTAGAGATACCAGTCAGCGACATTGATGATGCCGTTGTATTTTGCCCCACGCCTGTCAGTGAAGAACGGGCGTTTCTCGGACGCTCAATCCAAACAAGCTGCAGGACGCTCAATGCCCTGCCTGTTCTCAGGCACAAATCCACCAGAAACCCAAGCATTTGTGCGCACACCACCCTCCCAATCGGTGTACTTGCCACCTGTCACAGCATGGCGAACGGAGACCACTGCATTTCTTGTCATACTGATCCCTCGGCCTAGCAAAGGATGGTTGGAAGCAGCGCCGGGCTCGTAGATGGGGCCACCATTGTCCGAGGTGAAAATGATCAGCGTGTTGTCCTTGAGCTTAACTAAATCCCTAACTACGCTAACTAATTGCTAGTGCATTTCCTGTTTCCGAGGTGAAACCAACAACGTCTTATTCACAGGTTCACGCGACCTGCGCAAAGGGGCAGGTCAGCGGGACCGGGCAGTCAAAGGAGCTGTCAGTCAACAAAACCCTAGAACTCTCAAGACGGATGCTGCTTGGGTAACCGCTGATGGAATGCTGCCAGAATGCGTACATCTTCTTCTGCTTCAGTGCATCGACAGCCTCGCCGATGGCGGCATCCATGTAGAGGGTCATAGCGGCATAGAGGCGCCTTCACATTGGGTGAAACGGGTTCCAGAAACGATCCGACGGCGAGGACTAGGACCCAGGAGCGCTTCGGAGTCGTGCCGAGCCTGTTCTCACTGTCAATCGGCTTGCCGCCTGCTGCAGAAACTAAGGAGTCCAGCTTCTCGAGCCAGGCTTTGGGCACCTGCAAACACCCGCAAGAGCGAGCAAGAGAGGGAGGGAGACGGAGTGACGATGCTCGAAGACAAACATTGGGTTTGCCAAAGCCTGCAGGGGCGTGTGGAGCAGGTGAAAGGAGTAGAAGAGGAACAGCGGATTTTCCGGCTTGGAAGTGTCGTGATTCCTCAGGTTGTGCACAAGTTCGGCGCAGCGCGCAGCTCCCCAAAACTCCAGCTCGTCTGCTATGGTCCCCTACTGCCACTGCGACTCCACGCAGCGCACCACCACGACGACCGCGACCACCACGATCCCAACGACACCGCCAAGACCACGACGACCACGACGACCAGGACGAACACGACGACCAACGACCACGGCCACCAAGACCACCACGACCACCATGAGACACCACGAAGGAAACCACCAGAAGACGCCCGGAGACCGGCAGGAGATTAGGACACCAAAGACAGATTCAAGCATGCTAACTGCTGCCGGGGCGCTGTATGATCCGCAACACCCGCTGCTTGAAGAGGTACTCTTCATAGCCTTGCTACAGTTTGTGCTTCCAAGCTGTTGCAAACTGCCGCTGCACGGAAATAGAGCAAAACACTTTTGGAGCAATCTGAGTAAGACCCTGTCAACCAGGATCTGACTCCTCGTCCTCCTGGCAAGCCGCCGACAAGGAGATCGCATCGCGCACGGGACCTCTGGAGCCCACTGGCATTTTGGCCACTACAACGAGTGCATGATGCCCACAATGCCAAAGCATGAGCATCGAACCGGAATATGTCTCATTGTGCATTGACAGATCTCGCCTTAACTAAGCGAGTTCGCGGTATCTCGATGCCAAATGTGCACGGGCGCAAGACGGGAAAGAAGGTGAAGCATCTCCGAGAAGCTGGCATGCGGTTTAGACAGGCATCGATCTCGCCGGTAGCCAGGAACACGGTGCTCTTGTGCCAATAGTCATTGGCATGCCTTGCAAACTTAAAACTTTGCGGTGCTGTGCAACTTTTCGAGACCCATGCAGTGTCAATGCCATGGGGCTGGTAGTAGCCGTACCAAGTCTCGTAACCTTCGAGAATGATGTGCACTGCTGCGAATCTCCTCCCTTCTGAGCGCAACCTTGCCTCGGCCCTTCGGTGAGTGTTCGGGAGTTGCCATGCCCGCGTCCCACTTTCCGACCTTCCCGAGTTCATGTGGCAACGCTGCTGGCCATCGGACACCGCGACTCGCCCTGAGATTCCAACAATGTGCGTCCTGTAGCCTCCAAACAAGCTCATTGTTCGTGGGGCTTTTGCATGGATCCAAAAGCTAGCTCGAGCCTCCATCCCGCATCTTCTCGGCAATGCCTTCCCATGATTTCTTCTCTCAGTCGACTACTTGGATCCGACAGCATGGAACCCGGCCTGTCATATTTCTTGGGATGCCGGCATATCCGCTCACAGGGTCATTGTAGTTCCGAGAGGTGACTGCCGAGTTGACGGGATTCACATGCACCTGCACCAAGGCGAAAGCTTGCTCGAGACGAATATGGTGGTCAGAGCGTTCCAGCTTTGCTCTTTGCGGACCAGCTGCTGCGAGACGACCAGATTGTATGGAGGATCGAGTCGGTGAGCAAATCTTGTATGTGTAGTGCCTCAGACAAATGGAGCGAACGGAACTTCTTGCAGCGCCTAACCGTGCACCGATGTGGTCAAGAATCCGCTCCAACAGAATGCCCTCATCGATCAGGGCATCCATGTTCGGCGTGTGCACCTCCACCTCGGCAGCTGCGATAAGAATCCAGCCCAACATGTAGAAATATGTATTATATGATATAGAACATGATATTTATATATATATATATATATATATATATATATATATATATATATACATATATATATATATACATATATATCATCTTCGGAGTTCCGCCTTGCCCTGCTGCTCCTCGGGCGTGGAAGCGGCATCTCGACGGTGCACCTGAGCGAAAGGCAGTGGCCCTGGAGTTTGCAGAAAGCGTCACCACTAACAGCTTCTTGGGCACGCCCATGTTGCCCCAGCCATAATCGTCTGCGAGGATGAACAGCACCTCGAACGAAGCTAGGTCATCTTCAGAACATGCTTGTTGCAGAGACCAATTTCATTCCAAAGCGCATGCGGCTTGGCTTGTGATGCTTGCGCCAGCAGCGGGGCCGCGGCCAAGAGCGGCAGAACAAAGAAAGCCATGCTATGGAGATTGGAAGATAAAATGCGGAGCAGCTGCCGAGCCGACACCATGCAGGCAAAGCGAAGCAAAACGAGTTGCAGCTGTGCACTGACTACACTCCTGCAAAGAGCTAGGGCATCTAACCTGATCAACATACTGCTTGGCGTATTCGAGCACGCGGTCGGCTTCTGCTTTCAGAATCTCCTGCCAGAGGAACAGAGTCTGCCACGAATCCGAGGCGTAAGCTTCGGAGTCCTCCTAAGTGCTGCAGCCTGGAAAACCCACAGGTCTACGGTAAAGATACTCTACGATGCTTTAGCCGTGCTCCTTGCTTATGGTTTTGCTCTGGTACTTAAGCACTTATCAATGATTTGCTTGTGGCTTCGTAAAACGACCACAAACAAATCATAAGCGCATGAACATGCATCGGTGTTGCGGTTTTGCTACGGATTTCTTCAATAGTTTGGGCCCTGGCACGTCTCCCATTATGATTTGTCTATGGTTGTTTATGCCGCTGCTCGTTGCAAGACGGTGCATGGTGCTTAAATGCATGAGTAAATGGCTTTTCTATAACTCATAGCATGATTTAACAATTTGATTGAACATTTTGCTGATGTTCGTGTCGGATCTGTGTAAAGCTCTTCATCGCTTCGTATTGCATTTAGAAGAAAGCAGGTTGACCTACGTTCCATGGACTCCAAAACAACTTGTTCGAAGCCCTCCACTCAGAGGCACCCTAATGGCCCCCAGTTTTGGGAGCGAGACAGGACCATCAAAACAAATTCCCTCAGAAGTCTCCGTACCTTAGATTAGGAACAATACAAACCCCAAAAGAATGGCTTCATAAATTGAAACTGCACGGCCTATGGCCCTAGACCCCTCCATCCAGACGAGCCCTGCCAGCTCCGCCCTCAACCCGATTCACTGGCTGTGTAGTACCCATGAGCATACCTGACAAAAAAACGGCTTAGTAGAAACCCACAAGTAAAAAACATAAGAGCTACAAACACCTGTTCAGGCATATTCGTAAAGAACCATCAACCCAGGCGATATGGGGACTGGTACAGGATGCGAAAACCACAAAACTCCAAGTGATTAAGCTGACCGGTGCTCGCCCGAGCTCAGCCGCTGAACCCTGCGTCCTGCTGTGCGCCCGTCTCTGGCAACTCGTTATCCAAGACCTCTGCCCAAAGCGGCCGAAACATGCGGGAAGTGGAATATCTTCACGGTCACGCACTTTCTCGCTTTGCTGTGCCTCATTTAGCTCCTTGTTCAGAGCTTCGAAGTTGTCCGGGCCTGAGATGCAATCCATATCTTCGACCTCTCGCCAAGCTTCGGGAACTGTTCTGAGCTGCAGGCTTGCATTGGAGAGTTTCTGCAAGACCCGGAGGACGGAGAGCGTCGCCTGCTTGAAGGTACATTGCAGCGAGGGAGGTCTTCGCTATCACCACATCCGACCTGCTGCTGGCGCAGCACTTTTGCCTCATCCTCACGGCGCTTCCTGCAGTCCAAGCACAAACGACAGCTGAGAGAGCCGCAGAAGTGGCCGGACTGTCGAGATCTGTCGAGCGCAATCGGGAGACCGAGGGCAGCACTGATCTTCCTCAGCGCGCCGCTTCTCCTCGTCGGCTCGACGAACAATCTCCTCCTGTGCAAATCGCAGAGCTTACCACTCCATGGTCTATGGATTCTTTTGGCCACGGTGGTCCTCATGCCGCTTCCACTCTTCTCGGCGTTTCCGCTCCATCTCCTCAAGGGTCGTAAGGAACTGAAAACTTCCTTATCACTCCGCTGGTCATCCCACTTGTGCCTCTTTTTGCTGCTCCTCCTCCACCTTCCGGCGCTCCTCAAGACTCACAATAGTATTTGCCCTCCATACTCCCAGAACTCTACATCTGGCCTCGTCCTGTTTCCTCTCCTCCGCAAGTCTTGCCTGAATAGCTTGAAGCTTCACCCACTAATGGTCCCACCCCCCCGGCCCCATCAGCTGCCCGGGTGCCCGGCTCTCCTCTCCTCGTCCGCTTTCTTGCGCTCCTGCGAGTTGCGACACTGTCAAGAACTGGGAATCCAAAAGCCAAACCCTTCTTCAATACGGAGAATAGAAGCCAGCGTAATGTCGCATGCCGGAGATGTCAGGAAGAGTCAATATATCAACAGACATGTTTGCCCGAAAGACCTTAGGGGCGAGAAAGCGAGGAGACTGAAGGACGAGCAGCCCCGACAAAGGGTGCAGCCGGCCCGCCGCCGGCCCGCCGGCCCGCCGGCCCGCCGGCCCCGGAATGGAATAGAAATTGAATGGAAGCTTTCGGGGCTGCTCCAGCCCCGTCGTGCACGGCTCACCGCAGCTTCTGTTTACGGCCAGGCCGCAGGGCTGAGTTCTGAAAAGCGGTCCCTGCGATACTCCTGATGTTTTCTCTTTCGAGTCTGTCTTCTGAGCAATTGAAAATTCGACCGACATCCACAATCGCAGCCTCTCAACCCAAGAAGACTGCACCACATAAGCTTCGGGGCTTTGTACTTGCGTGGCGCAATCTCACGACAAAAGCTGGAACGAGAACTTTTGACTATGACTCTCCTCGGGCATCGTGGGAACTGTGGACGCTCGGTCCACGGCAGCGCTACCCCGCAAAAGCTCGGCCGCATCACCCGCAAACACAGCCCTCCACGACAGCGTCACACCACGATCTTGCGCACAGCAATTCCTCCACCACCCCACGAACGCTCGCCGCCCACGGCGACCCAGTCCCAGCCCGCCAGCCCGACTGACCCGCTCGCGGCAGCATCACCCGCGAACGCTCGGTGCCCACAGCCTGCCCAATAGCCCTTTCCCGGAAACGCCCACTGCAGCTCTATGCGAATGCTCGGCTGGAAACATTTGGAAATGTTTGGAAGTGAAGGGAGGAAAGACTAAACAAGAACCCCAACCCCCAGGGCTTCTTGTTGGAAAAAACCGAAAGACCGTGGCTGACTGTTGCAGATTCCGCCCGCTCGCCTCTTCCTCACGGCGCCGCTTCTCGTCACGGCGCCGTTGGAGCTCCTCCTCCCGCCGTCGCATATCCTGAAACGAGCAGGAGCGAGACAACACTAGCTGACTAGCTCTCGAGCTTCGGAGGATTTCAGAGGCCTCCTCCTTCTTCCGCTTCTCTTCCTCTCGTTTTATTCGTTCCTGAGATCGAAACGAAACGATTTGAGATGTGCATGCATTTGACTACGCCCGCAATCCACACGGAACAGGACCTCGCCTGCTCTTGCCTCCGCTTTGTTTCGGCGTCATCTTCTTTCCGCCTGGCAATTGCCAGAGTCGCACAGCTGCAAGCTTTCGAACAGGAGCACATTAGCCTGTCATCGTGACGTCTGCGATCTTCCTCCTGCTTGCCTTGGAGTCGAAGCCGTCCCCTCCCGGCATCTCCAGGTTTTTGTGCCACTAAAGGAATGCGACGGAATCGCTTAGGCCCGCGGCGGCGGCGCTCCTCTTCGCCTCGGCGGCGGTAGTCCTCGTCTGGGCGACGAGTCCCAGACTCCTCCTCCTCAGAGAAACGACACCGGATGCTAGGCCGCTAGGCCGCTCGGCTTGGACTCCATGCGTTCCCTGAAATGCTGCACATCTCAATTATCTCCTCCCGCCGTCGCTTGTTTGCGCGGTGGTCGGCCTGCATGTAAATCGCATTTATCACGTTGGGAGTGTCCATGCTTGAAGTCTCTTGAATCAATCAAATGCGATCAAGTGCTGCAATACCAGAGCTGAAGGTCAGCCGATCACCATGCCAGAGCCTCTTCCTCGCGACCGGGTCGGCGACGATCCGCTGGCCTGAGTGGAAATGGGGCAAAGGTGTCAAATGTGGGCAGAATTCGACATCAAGCGCTCAAGCGCAACGAGCTCATCTATTGGCTCACCGAGTCGTCAGCTCGTCACGACGCTCGCGGTCACGACGATCACCATCTCGCCCCCTGTCACCCCTGTCTCGCTCCGTCCGATTCTCGGTTCTATCCTTGGTTTTGACTCGCGTGTGACACCCTCACAACTTGATGCAGCATGCGGTCGCTGAGTTCCATTCATCACGGTCACGCTCTTCACGGTCTCGGCGACCTCATCATCGGATGAGAGTGAGTTGCACATGCCTTTTGTTAACTCCTTGCCGGCGCGGACCTCCTCGGATGAAAGATGGGGATTCGCCCACTAGCCCGATTCCATCCCCACATTGAAACCCAGACAACCAAGCTCTGCGCCGCGTCTATCATCGCGGTCATCCTAAGATGCCCCCCATCAGTTGTAGGACAGAACAGGAGCTTCACACTCGCGAGAGCCACCAAAACTCTTCTGTGCGAGGGTCCTTGTCCGTGGTGGGCCCTGGCCTTGCCGCTCACAGGCTGTGGAATCAGACCAGTGTGCCCGGAAAGATTAGGACTAGGATGGAAGGTACGAGTGTAGCAGTGATGAAACAGAAGCAGCTTTTTCCAGCGCAGCGAGCTTAAAAATGTCGCAGTAGGGGACATATGTCGTCTTGCGCAGTAGGCCATTACATCCTGAATCACATGTGGCGACGACGCCAAAAGAAAAAACATGGCAACTGCCATTCGAGCTATGTTCCCAACTGTTTGGCCAGAACCTCCTTTTCGTCCTTGTCCGCAGAACCATGAAATTAGTTGGTCATTGCCGGACTACCTCCAATGGCAGGCTCTGGGAGACCATTTGTGCGGCCCTTACGGGCTCAGGCACGGGTAGGCTTCCTGGGCGAGCAAAACAGAACGGACCCACATGGGCAGAAACTGAACCGAAGGCTTCTTGCGAGCGGGTGTCGTGTTAGCAGCAGCAACTTCCTGCACGTAATCCTGCCACAAGCTACAGACTGCTAGAGAGTGACCATATGTAATCATGTTCAACTTCAAAACCTTTGGGCGCTAAGGACTCCCGGATGCAGCACCTGCATCTTCTGGAAGAACTCCTCGCCGGCCTCTTTTCGGATTTCTGCCCCAGCATCCGTGCCAATCGCAACAGCCTCAGACCTGAGCGTAAAACCGAAAACCGCAGTCCGCCGTCGTTTGTGGCCGATCTACCGGGTTCCTTTAGAGGAATAGAGGGCCTAAGGCTCAGCCTCACAACTCTATACACTGGCTTCAAAACACGATCTGCAGCTTGTGGACACTGCTCCTTCACGCTCGACACGGTAGATGGTCTGCCCGTCCTCGCAACATCGCCAGCAAGACAGTCCACCGAAAAGAGACTGGAAACTAGTGTTCAAATCATACAGAATCGGTGCGGCTCACGCGAGTGGGCAACTGGTTGAACGAACCCTGTCCGGCGATGCTACGAGACCTTTCAGCACCAGCTGCCCGTCGATTACCCTCGCCTGACCTGCGGGCACATGCCAAAAGCTACTGTGCTCGTACATCCGTTTGTTTGCATCACCCGATGCGACATCGAACACTTCGCCCAAGCTCCCTTGCAGCTGCGATGATAAGAGAAAGTCATAGAGTCATACTCCGCAGGATCGTGCCTGCAATCGGAGTCTTGCAGTTGCCATCCAATGCCGCCAGGAATGCTCGCTCGCAAGTGACAGCCTGACACTTCGAATCCTTACGACCCCTCTGCTAGGAAATTATGAAGCAGACCGGCTCTGCTGAACAGGCACATTTTTGCAGGCACAGATCGCACCTGGAACGTGTCTGCATGAGACAATGGCTTCAGGTAGTTGAGGACCCGGTCGTCGTCTGAGCGGCACTGGAAGCTGATTGCACCTGGAACAATATGCAAGCTACATCTTGCTACTGCCGTCTTCACACAGCACAATCCGAACCACGCCTTGTGCAATGGCGGGTAGCATCTCATCCCACTCAAGGATTTTGGTGGCATGCTCCTGGCAACAGATTCCATGGCCTCTGACTAGTAGAACTGGTGCGTTCGAGTACAAGCTCGCACGTGTCCTCCATGCTCATCCGCTTGAGGCCAGCATACGCCAGGAATGTGCCTTTAACGTCTCCGCCCTGCAACTTTCGCAGCCTCTCAAACGAAGCACAGTACTTCAATAAGCATTTGCACATCTGCATGCAGCTCTGTCAAAGCCTCGTCTGCACATTGCCCCGGAAGTTTACACACTTCACGTTTGGATTTTTGCTATAGATCTGAGCTTGTCGTCGAAGTGAAGCGGTGCCAATTAGACTGCCATCCGGAAACTCCTCAATGCTCGTGATAGCCGGATCGCCACTGATCAGCACATCCCTGGTGTCCTGTGGTTCCAAGTCAAGTGTGAGACAAAGAATGGCAAAAAAGTGCGAGGCAGCGTCCTCTCTGGGAAGCATTGTGCAAAGCTCTGTGTCCGGAATCAGCTCGGTGGGAACATCCTTGGTGGAGTGCACACAGAAGTCGACCTCCTTCGAGGCGAGCGCGACGTCCAGCTCGCGTGTGAAGAGACCCTTGCCGCCGATCTCTGCCAAGGAAATCTCCAGGCGCTGGTCCCCGGTCGTTGAGATGATCCGCACCTCCACTGCCTCATCTGGAGCCAGTTCCTCAAAGGCCTGCGCATTCATATTTCCCGGTGCTACGTGTCGACGTGTAGCGGCCCCAAACCGTGCAGGCACAAGCACACGACATCTCCCATGCCTCCCCCAGACGCCGCTTGGCTTCGTAGGCCTGGGCCAAGGCCAGTGGTGAGCCTCGTGTGCCCAGCGTCAGCAGGGGACCTGCTTCAGAACCCGACGCGGCAAAGAATTGCTGTGGCATGGCATGGTGGCATGGCAGGCTGCCTTCGGCGTGGCGGGCCACGGAGCGCCGAGAGCGCCTCGTCGCTGCGCCCACCATGACGCCACCAACCAAAGTGCAGGCCACTGGCGTGAGGGCGCCTGCATCGAGATGCTGCGAAATGTTGCGAAGATATGCAAAAACTCACGGCATCACACAGCATCTCACAGTCCTCCTTGTGCTGCCGGCCGAGAGTGGCGGGTCTGCGTCGTCGGGAGCGTGCGATCAGCCATCGTCTCCGCCCCCCGCATCACAGCGAAACCATTGCTTTTGCTGTCGGGGGCAATGGTCCAAACCAAAGCTCCGCCGCACCCAGCAGCCGCTACTTTCATGGCGCTCGGGCGGCTTGCCATGGCAACTGCTCTATCTACGGCGAAGCCGTCAAAACTTGGGCACGAGCCACTTCGAGACAAGCAGTGCATCGAAGCATGCTGTCCTTCGACGGACATGCCTTCTCGCTGATTCACTCATGCTGTCAATGGGTAGTTCGCTGACTGAGCGCAAGGCGCTCTGGGCTTCTCCATGATGCTCTGCATCTTGCGCTGGAACTCTTCCTCGCGCCGTCTTCCTAAGTCGTGCTGCACGCTGCCGAGTGCAATCTGCATCTCAGATGATGTGGAAAGTCAATTCAGTGCAGCACTGGTAAACCAAAAATTTCGCATCAACACACCGCCACTAACAACCGCCCCAGACTAGCAAACTTCCCTGGTCGCCAGTGATCCGGTGCAACTGTTGCAAAAACCTTTTTTGCATCGTGAGTAACAGGATAACTAGATTCACTAGATGGACTCTCGCTATGACTCACCGAAATCAATGACCCTTCCTGAGGCCTGCACTCTCCTCTGCCCTCCTTTTCAACTCCTCTACATGCCGCTGCCTTGCTTCAGGCTGCCACCAGCAGATCACTTCATCCTTCTCTCTCTCTCTCTCTCTCTAAAACTGGGGTGCGAACTCCTCCTCAGCCTCACGGGCGACGAGGTCCTTCACCTCCTGTCGCCAAGTCAACTAACGGACAGTAGCCACTATGACTGTTGCACACCACCCTGCCAGTCCTGAATCTGTCTGCCCACCTGTCTCTGTGGCGCCTCCTTCCAAGTACAACATTTACAGTATTTCAGGAAGCTCATGCAACACAGACGCTTGTCTTGACAGGACCTGGCAGATGAACACAGCCCAGAGGTGTCTCCTCACGGCGATCGCCGGGCTCATCCCGCCGGTTTTCCCTGCGGTCATCTCTTCGATCGTCCCTGCGATCCTCCCTTCGATCGTCACGGCGATCGTCCCGCCGCTCGTCGCGTCGCTCATCGCGTCGCTCATCACGACGATCTTCGCGACGATCTTCCCGACGATCTTCCCGACGATCGTCGCGCCGATCTTCGCGACGATCTTCAAGCCTGGTGGAGTCATCACAGCGCCGTCGTCCAGCATCACAGGAGCAGGCAGTGTTGTTGCTGCGCCTCTCTGGCCTGTCTTCTCGTCGCTCGTCACGGCGCCTCAGACTCAAAAGCTCGAGATTCCAAAAGCATTCCTTCCGTGCCTTCAGCAGGTGCTGAGCTCTGGGCTCCGAAACCGGCTCTCCGCGCCGCGCAGGTGTCGGGGCCTCCTCACGCCGACGCCTTAGCAATGCTTCGCTTTCCGTCACCATGGAAAGAAAGCCCTGCACTGGGATCCATGCTCCTCCTCCTCCTTCTTCTGTTGCTCCTCCCTTCGAGCACGCTCTTGCCGTTCCTGCCGTCGACGGTTGTATGCCTTGGCAATGCACCGGGGGGCCACACCTGCTTGCGTCTGTTTCGGGAATCTGGGCCACCAGCGTCAACGAAGTAGGCATGCGAGTTGCTGGTAGCTGTTGCCTAGATATGTCTACATACGCATCACTCGACCGTAGAGCACTGTCATTCTCAGTATGCGGCAATGCTCGGCTCCTCTTTGGGTGGCTGCGAGCCTACAATCGGATCCGGCAAAGCAAAAGAAGTGCAAAGCTTCAGTCTGAGTGTCGCACTTTCTTTCTGGCCACGCCTCGGTATGCTTGATCGAGCACAAGTCAAAGCACTCAACTGACAGTTCCTCCTAAGTCGTCAGAGCTGTCTGAGCCTCCTGCTCATCCCTAGAATGATGCCGTGGTCGGGAGGTGGGGGGCCTTGGACAAACAGAACGACAAAGCATCAGCTCGCCGGCATGCACTACTCCATCTGTTCACACAGCGATGTTATTGGCGGTTCTTGGCACTAGACTCTTCCTCTTGAGCCCGTCTCTGCCCTGCAAAAAGAAGCAAAGAAATCCTTTGGGCCGCATCGCCTTCGCCTCAAACCGGGCCTTCCGGTGCAGGCTCTTGCTCCGGTGGCCTCTTCACTGCCTGCAAACAAACGCGGGTGCCTAAAGTCGAAGCAGCAGCAGTCGAAGCACCATCGACACAAAAATGCCTGTTTTGCACCAGTTCTACGTGCCTTCCCCTGTTAGGGCCTTCAACTTGTGTGCGTGTGAGCATGGTGTCACCAAGCCCTGCATTAATTGCGTTGTCCGGCTTGCCTGAGCAGATCAAGCTGGGGCACATCTGCCTTTTGGGATGGGAGCGTTTTGGGCGATGCCGTCCGGACGTCTCAACCTTTTGGTTTCGGGCCATGCTTGGGCACTTCGGTTCAACAACCTTTCGCTTCTGCATTCGTCTGCTGCCGCCTGGGGCCCAAAGTGCGTGAGGACTTAGTATGGGACTTTGACTACATCCACGGCGAATTGGCAAGAGTGCATTTTTTGAATGCTTGTGCGCATATGCGCGTACATCTACATGCCCATCTGCATATACACACATATACTCATATACACATTGGACATGCGCACACATACACAAACTACACATACACATATACAAATACGTATACATAAACATCTACATATTTATATATTTATATATATATATATATATATATACCTATATATACCTATATACAGATATATACATACGCATATACATCACCGGAAAAGTTTGCAACCAGAACGACTGAATCGGAAACTAAAAGAGCAGATTCGGAAACCTGCCATGATTCGGCAACCACAACGTCTGATTCGGAAACCATAACGGCTGATTCGGAAGCTAGCTTCTCATGCACGCCCGGTTTTGAATGCACAAATTCTGATTCGCTTCTGGCTCATACATATGTATATATAACACACCTATGCATAAGCATAGGCAAATACACCCGTATGCAAACAGATGTCCAGGCGTATACATACATGTAAACGTACAAATACATGTGTAGGATATGTAGGACAATAATGGAGACATGAAATGCTCTATGGAAAACGCCACATGGGACGTTGCGTATGAATGTAGATGTACGTGTGTGTGTGTGTGTGAACCTTCCTAGCACATGGGAGCAGAGGGTCACTCCTTCTGTTTTTCACATGTGGACATTTGCAGGGGGCCATTCAGCCTTGCTATCAGGGAATGGCCAACGAAGAGCCTGATAGCAAGGTGCTGCAACGTACCTGCAAGGGGACGGAAACCATATCCCCGATGTGCCAGGGACAGAACCCAACCCCTACTACTTGGCATTTTGAACGTTTTACGCCCTGCCCGGACATCGCACTTCGACCGCGGCAGCGGCAGCCATTCTCTATGTCTGGCTCCGGGGACAGAAACCTATCCCATATTATAATGCCAGGGACAGGACCCATTATCCCTACTACGTGGCATTTGACGACAATAGAGGACAGGAACCTCATCCTCACGACGCGACTTGACGACGACAACGTGCCTCTCTCTCGCCTCTCTCTCTTCCCCTTCCTGCACTCCTATTCTCGGCCGAATCAGTCAGTGTGACTATCGTGGGTCCCGAGACCCCTGAGCAGCGGCTTTCCGTCATGGCGCCGTGGTGTCCCTCCGAATGGGAAACCGGTGATAAACCGGATGTTCAGACTTTCGTTCAGACCGATCAGATCTCCCGATGCTCTTTATGATTACTTTCTCTCTCTCTGATGCTCGCATGTGAGTCTGACATGAGTGCAGGTGCAGTAACTGGCGTCTAGTGCAGTAACTGGCCGCTAATGCACAGGACTACCTCGCTAGTCTGTCCTCTATTCGACCGCTTCTGTATTCCTCAGGGACTGCAAGGGCATGTGCTTCTGACATGAGTGCAGGTGCAGTAACCGTCGTCTAATGCAAGTGGTTGCAGCTTCCTCCGGGAAGTAATCGGCCTCTCTTTCTCGTCTCTTTCTTTCTGAACTTCTCTCAATACACGCCCCTGACGGGGCTGTGTGTGTGTGTGAACCTTCCTAGCACATGGGAGCAGAGGGTCACTCCTTCTGTTTTTCACATGTGGACATTTGCAGGGGGCCATTCAGCCTTGCTATCAGGGAATGGCCAACGAAGGAAGAGCCTGATAGCAAGGTGCTGCAACGTACCTGCAAGGGGACGGAAACCATATCCCCGATGTGCCAGGGACAGAACCCAATCCCTACTACTTGGCATTTTGAACGTTTTACGCCCTGCCCGGACATCGCACTTCGACCGCGGCAGCGGCAGCCATTCTCTATGTCTGGCTCCGGGGACAGAAACCTATCCCACATTATAATGCCAGGGACAGGACCCATTATCCCTACTACGTGGCATTTGACGACAATAGAGGACAGGAACCTCATCCTCACGACGCGACTTGACGACGACAACGTGCCTCTCTCTCGCCTCTCTCTCTTCCCCTTCCTGCACTCCTATTCTCGGCCGAATCAGTCAGTGTGTGTGTATATATATATATATATATAATCTGTAGATATACGTGTATATATAGACATGATATTCAATCAATACTTGATTTTGGTTATGTTTCTATGTTGCTATATATATATATACGTATGTACATACATACATTTGTACATATATAAAGATGCACATATATACATATAAACCTATATACATATGTACATATGTACATATATACATATATACATATATACATATATACATATATACATATATACATATATGCATATATACATATATACATATATACATATATGCATATATACATATATACATATATACATATATACATATATACATATATACATATATACATATATACATATATACATATATACATATATACATATATACATATATACATATATACATATATACATATATGCATATATACATATATACATATATACTTATATACTTATATACATATATACATATGTACATCTAACCATATAGACATATTTTTTTAGCTGCCCTGGGCGCGGACTATACAACGTCCCTCCCGTTGGCGACGCCAGATGTTTCTGGTCTGGCTTAAAACGCGAGCCCACCACTCTCTGTCTGCTGCCACTTCCAATATCTTATGTTTGATGTCTCTTTCTATTCCAGCCCCTGCGAAGAAATGGTCATTGAAAATGGTCGTGGCGAGACCGAGCATTTTATCGTTCCATTTAACCCTTCTTGCGCCCGCTCTGTACGGGCCACCCAGTTGCTGAGGTTGAAGAAACCTGTCGAAACAAACTATCCTACTGGGGTGCCTGAGAGGCCTTCGGAGGATGTGCCCGAGTAGTTTTAACTGGTGCAAACGCAGCTCATCACTCAATCAAGTTGCTTTCAACCTGGACTGCACTTCTGCGTTGCTGACTCTTGGTATGCCTATTTGCATGGCTCCCCACGTCGTGGGAACATTTGCTATGGCGCGTAGGCACTTGAAGTGGAACCCATCTACTTGGTTCAACTGTGTGTCTGTTAGCCACAATGTAGACAAATTATACAAAAGCTTTGTTACCACACACGCCTTGTAAATTGCCAGCTTCTTACCGGTCGACAATCGAGCGTGCCTCCAAACTCTAGTAAGTCCGCGAAAGGTCTTCCTAGCATCCCCTATGCGACGTATTATCTCCGGGCCTGCGCGGCCTCTTTGATCAATGAGCCCGCCCAAATACACAATTGAATCAGTTTTTTGGACATAAGTTCCATCTGCAAACGCTACATTGTTGTCGGTATTGTAAACTATGAGCTTGGTTTTGTCCTTATTCAGGTGTAGGTTGTATTTTGCGGCTTCTTCTTGAACCAGCGAAAGCAATTCCTGCATGTGCTCTTGCTTCCTGCTAATGAGAACTGTGTCGTCTGCGAACTCGATATCAAAGAACGGTATGCTTGGTGTAATTGCAAGGGGATGTAGAGCAAGATAACGCTTCTGAACATCATGAAACAACACTGTCTGCAGTAGAATGAACAACAAGGGGGATAAGGTGCAACCTTGACGTATGCCACTGTTTTGCGCGTATGTCGCGGAAACATCTTCGCCCATAATTACCTCGAACAAAGGGGCTTTGATCAATTCAGCAATTATGGCCTGTAACTTCGTAGGAACCTTCAATCTCTCGAGGGCTGTGCGTAGTGCATCGGGACGGATCTTGTCAGAATGCTTTGGACCAGTCTATGAACATTAGATACAGGACTTGGTGTCTCTTTGCGTCTACCAGGTCTTGGAGTCTCCTGACCAGGAAAATCGCTTCAGCAGTACTCCTACCCTTCCTAAACCCAAACTGCAGCTCACGAATATGCTCCTCCAAGCCCTCAGCGAGCCGGTTAGCCACAATGCGAGCATAGAGTTTGTAACAACTTTGAAGGAGACTTATCGGTCTGTAGTTGGCAGGGCTAGCGGGATTGCCTTTTTTGAAGATGGCGACTACCTGTGCCGTTTTCCACTGTCGTGGACTTTGCTCCTTATCCCAACACTCCCTGAACAGCTGCAGCAAAGCTAGTAAGCCTTCACCTGTACAGCTCATTTGGTATGGAATCTTTACCCCCTCGTTTGCCAGTCTTGGTTTGCTTAATGGCTGTGATGAGTTCTGCCATAGAAATGGTCGTGGAAGAAATGGTCGGATCAGCATCAAGTACGGGATCGCTGCTTAAGCCTTGCGCTGGCCCTGCATCGGACCATTGCACCTCTGCTAAATGTTTTGCGAATACTGTAGCGTTATTTGGCGCTGGTAGTCCTTGGTCAGATCGGTGCTCCGGGTACAAGCGAACAGTGGCACCTCGAAAAGGTTTGTTAAGGTTGATTATGGGCCTCCAGTCTCCTGAAGAAAGCTGTTCGTCAAGCCATGTCCTCTTGTCCTTCTTTGCGGCTTTTCTAATCTGTTTGTTAAGGTCAGCTACCTTTTCCAAATCTCCTGCTTCTCTACATAAGCTTCGGTTGGATATGAGTTTGAAGGTGTCTTCTGTTATCCAAGGTTTTCTGGGGAGCTGCTTGCACTTGGGGATATTGTGATCAAGAGCCTCTAGGTATGTTTGCCTGAGAGCATCCCACATGTTAGTAACATCTGTGTCGGGCATGTTTTGTTCATGCAACTTCCTCTCGACTTCCTGGTTGAAGGCAGTGATGTCTTCGGGTTTGGCACTGTCAAAAGCCCAGCGGGGGTATGGATTGGACCTAGGTTTGGCACCTAACTTGGCCACCATGTGTATGTGCAACGGGAAATGATCCGAATCAAGGTTGGCCCTAGGCTTACTGTGAACGTTCCTGCACGTGTTACGCCACCTGGTCGGGACCAAACAAAAATCAAGCTGCGCAAACTCGGAAGGGTTCCAATCATCGTTCGTTGAGGGCGAATGCTTCGTTCCCGGCTCTTTGTGGGTGACTTGCCTGCCATGTGGATGTTGAAACCACGCGTTTGCAACGAGAAGGTCGTTTGCGACGCACAAGTCCATTAACATCTGCCTATTGCTACAATCATCTGTGATAGCAGCAACTCCTTTGCCGAACAGTGAAGGCCCTAACACTCCTTCCTCTCCATGTTGTTTGCCGTGAATCCTGGCATTGAAATCTCCTACTAACACATACAACCCTTTCGTGTGTACGGCCTCAACTTGGTCATGAAGCAACTCGAAAAACTCTCGTCGTTCTTCTTCTGGCCTAGCGCTTTGTGGGGCATAACAATTGAGGATGGAGAATTCACCAGATCCTGCGAGCAAGGAGATAGTGGCGAAACGACTGTTTACATAATGCGTACGTATTAGCGCACGCCTGGCCAAAGGACTAAGAACAAACCCAACACCGGCATGTTCCTGTTGATCCGGGGCTGCGGTACTGATCGTTAGGAATGTATAGTTGTCTACGACATAATGCGTTGTATTTCTTGACTTAGTTTCTTGCAAACACAGAACGTGGAGAGAATGCTTTTTCATGTGTTGAATAATTTCTGCATGCATGGCTGGCTTCAACAATGAGCGAACATTTAGAGAGGCAATACGAACTTCAAACGCATACGGGGTCTTGTGTGACTTTGGGATGTTTCTGTGGAGGTTGGTAGCCTCAGCGTATATGCACGTGGATTCTGGAACATGCGCGTCTCTCAAAGGCTGGGAAACGGAGTGCTTAAGAGGTGGATGGTGGCAGATGCCCGAACTGCCCCGGTCCTTGTCATCAACAACACCACTCAAGCTTGCACAACACCATCGATATCCTCGTCTATGTTTTGCACGGTTGGCTGCTCTGTTTGCTTTTCTACAAATCGTGGCTGTTTCTGACCTCCGCCCCCTTTTGTTGGATCGGATTTCGCTCTGTAACCGCTGGGGTCGGTGGACCTGCTGTGTGATGCAACTGTGACACTCGAAAAGAAATGGTCGGAAGAAATGGTCGTTACACCGCCCCGCGGGCTGCCCGGCTCGCCATCGTGGCGGCGCGAGGGGATAACCCCAAAAGAAATGGTCGTGTGAGATGTCTTGGAATGTGGCTGATGCGTGGTGGTAGCGTGGTGGCTCGGAAAATCCTAGCGGGCGCCTTGTGGCGCCTTACCCTTACCTCCTTCCCTGGCCGGCGGAGGCCTCAGACCACGGTCAAGTCGTGCAGTAGCTGCCCGAGGTTCTGGTCCCATGGTTTCGTCCTCCCGCTCCTGCTGTGTGGCGCTGGCTGTGCTTTGCTTGTGTTTTGATTGTGCGTTGTACTTCTGGTCATACTCGGCGGCTTTCTCCGGGGTGATGCCCTTGATGGTGATTGTGAAGTGGTCTTGGGCTCTGTATGCATCCGGTTTGCGAGGTACTCCATGTTGCTGGCCCCACTTGGCCCATGCATCCCCAAAGCTTGCAGTGAAGGCTTCTTGGTCCTCCGCGCGGACGTGGATTGTGATCTGTGTTTTGTCGTGCTCTGCTGGTTCCGCAATGAGAATCCATTCCCCTCCATGCCAAATTGCCGTAAGCTCCCAGATAGGCTTATAGCGCTGTTGTCGGCCAGCTATCTGGGCGTAGACTGCGATGGCACACCTGAAAGGCTGATCTGCTTCGCGTTGGTATTTGGGGATTTGAGCTCGTCCTACTTGGATCTGCCCGTGGCAAGTCAACATGTCCTTCTTGACCATATCTAAGAAGTCGTTCCTTGCTTCCTTCGTGTAGAACTCCACTATGCTGAAGTGTGCGAGGCCTCCCTTGCTCTTCAGTGTCTGCGTGCATGTGTGCATGCGGCGGAGTCCCTCCTTCTCCACGAGTTTCTCGATGGCTTGTTCTCTGTCGCGTTTGGTAGCTGAGTCCGGCCAGGAAGAGATGATTGCATGTTTTGATGCTTCGAGCTGTTGCTGCTTCTGGAGCTGGTCCTTGGTTTGAGCAGATCTTTGATCGAGCGTGTTGAGCTTGCCGGTATGTTGACTTAGAAGGCGATGGATGTCCAAGATCTGCGACTGAACAAAGAGGTTGGTGTCCTGCTGAGTTGTTGCCACCGCGTCCTTGCCTTCTGATTCTGCTCCGGGCATGGGTGATCTGCTTCTTTCGCCCATGTTTGCAAGCGAACTGGAGGAAAAGGGAAAAGAAATGGTCGTGAGGGGGTTCTGTACTTTCCCGATCCGAAATGAGCCTATATAGACATATAGACATATAGACATATAGCCATATAGACATATAGACATATAGACATATAGACATATAGACATATCGACATATGGACATACAGACATATAGACATATATACATATATACATATAAACATATACACATGTATACATATACACATATCTGCATATATTAATACACATATATACATATATACATATATACATATATACATATATACATATATACATATATACATATATACATATATACATATATACATATATACATATATACATAGTATTATATATACATATATACATATAGTATATATACATATATTATATATATGTACTATCTATATACTATATACATATATATATATATATATATACATATATGCATATATACATATATACATATATACATATATACATATATATATACATATATACATATATACATATACATAATACATATATACATATATACATATATACATATATACATATATACATATATACATATATACATATATACATATATACATATATACATATATACATATATACATATATACATATATACATATATACATATATACATATATACATATATACATATATACATATATACATATATACATATATACATATATACATATATACATATATACATATATGCATATCTGCATATATCCATATATGCATATATGCATATATGCATATATACATTTATACATATATTATACATATATTATACATATATTATACATATATTATACATATATTATACATATATTATACATATATTATACATATATACATATATACATATATACATATATACATATATACATATATACATATATACATATATACATATATACATATATACATATATACATATATACATATATACATATATTCATATATACATATATTCATATATACTTATATACCGCCTGGGGAAATGTGGCAAACGACCTGACGCCGAATCCGAATTCCTGAAACCGCATTGGTTTAGGTGACGCCGAATTGTGACGCCACATTGTCTGACGCCGAATTGTGCCCTGACGCCGAATTGTTTCCTGACGCCGCATTGGGTGGTGACGACGAATTGTGAAGCCGCATTGGGTGGTGACGCCGAATTTCTGACGTCACATTAGGTGCTGACGCCGAATTGCTGACGCTGCATTTGTTTGTGAGGCCGGATTGGTGATGCCGCATTAGGTGCTGTGACGGTGACGCCGAGTTCCTGACGCCACATTAGGTGGTGACGCCGAATTGGTTCGTGACGCCGGATTGTGAAGCCACATTACCCGAGGCCCCTGGATCTGATGCCAGAGCCCAGAACCCTTACAGATCTTGAACTGCAAGGGTGGGGTCTTGGACTGATGGAGCCTCCCTGGTTTTCAAATCCGAGCTCTTTTTGATGTTGAACTCGAAGGATAAGGCCTTGCACTGATGCTGCGCCCCTGATTTGTTGAAGCAGAACTCGTATGGATCTTGCACTCCGAAGCTGGGGTTTCGGACGGATGGGGCGCCCCTGATGTTTTAAATCAAACCTCTTATATAGATCTTAAACTTTGGGGATAAGACCTTGGACTGATGGCACGCCCCTGAATTGTAAATCAGAACTCTTATAGATCTTGAACTCCGAGGATAAGGCCTTGGACTGATGCTGCGCCGCTGATGTGTAAATCAGAACTCTTATAGATCTTCAACTACGAGGATAAAGCCTTGCACTGATGGGGCGCGCCTGGTCCTCACAAAGGATTTCTGATAGATCTTGACATCTGGGGATAAAGCCACGAAACTGATATATATATATATATATATATATATGTATATATATATATTTATATTTATATTTATATTTATATTTATATTTATATTTATATTTATATTTATATTTATTTATTAAGGTCTTGAAGTCTGACATCGAGGCCTTGGACTGATGGCGCGCCCCTGATGTTACAATCAGAACCTTCGAAACTCTTTAACCCCGAGGGTGGGGCGTTGGACTGGTGGGTCGCCCCTGATTTTGAAGTCAAAACCTTTCCAGATATTTTTCTCTTCGAAACAAAGCCTTGAAGTGAGTGGGCGCCCCTGATTTTTAAATCAGAACTCTTATAGATCTTGAACTCCGAGGATAAGGGCTTGGACTGATGGAGCATCCCTGATTTTCAAATCAGAACTCTTATAGATGTTGAACTCTGGGGATAGGGCCTTGGACCGACGGAGCGCCCCTGATGTCTGAATCAGAACTCTTATGGATCTTGAACAACGAGGATAGAGCCTTGCACTGATGGTGCACCCCTGGCTTTACCAACAGAACTCTGATAGGTCTTGATCTCTGAGAATTAGGCCTTGGACTAACCCCGAGGGTGGGGCCTTGGACTGATGGGTCGCCCTGATTTTTAAGGCAAAACCTTTAAAGATCTTGAACTGGGATTGATGGGCGCCCCTGATTTTTAAATCAAAACTCTTATAGATCTTGGACTCCGCGGGAGGGTCGGAGGGGCCTTGGACTGATGAGGCGACCCTGATGTTTTCAATCAGAGCTCGTATGGATCTTGAACTCCGAAGGTGGGGCCTTGGACTGATGGGGCGCCCTTGATTTATTCAAAAAACTCTTATATAAGTCTTGAACTTTGAGAATACGGCCTTGGACTGATGGCGCGCCCCTGAGGGTGGGGCCTTTGACTGATGGAGCGCCCCTGAGTTTTGAATCAGAACTCTTATGGCTGTTGAACTCCGGGAAAAGGGCCTTGCACTTATGGGCGCCCTGATTTTCACAAGCAGAACTCGATAGATCTTGACCTCTGAGGATAAGGCTTTGGACTGATAGGGCGACCCTGATTTTTGTAAAGCAGAACTCTTATAGGTCTTGAACTCCGAGGCTGGGGCTTCGGACTGATGGAGCGCCCCTGATTTGTTAAATCAGAACTCTTATAGATCTTGAACTCTGAGGATAGGGCCTTGGACCGATGGAGCGCCCCTAATGTCTAAATCAGACTTCTTATACATCTTGAACAACCAGGGTTGGGCCTTGGACTGATGGGTCGCCCTGATTTTTAAGGCAAAACCTTTAAAGATCTTGATATGGGACTGATGGGCGCTCCTGATTTTTTGTCTTGAACTCCGAAGGTGGGGCCTTGGACTGATGGGGCAACCCTGGTTTTTAAATAAGAAACTTTACAAGCATTGAACTCTGAGGGTGGAGCCTTTGATTGATTGGGCTCCCCTGATTTCAAGATCAGGACACTTACAAAGCTTGAACGCCGAGGGTGGAGCCTTGCACTGATCGGGCGCCCCTCTTTTTAACTCAGGACTCACAGAATTTGAACTCCGAGGATGGAGCCTTTCACTGCTGGGGCGCCCCGGATTTTTATATCAGACTTCTCACAAACCTTGAACTCCAGAGATCACGGCTTGGACTGGTGGGGGCGCCGCTTATCTAACGAGGATGCCTACGGTACTTCTGACCGAAGATACAAATTGAGCATTGAGCCATTTCCATACGTTCTCGAGGAGCACGTATGGAGATGGAGTGGTGGGTTGTTTAGGTCATGCTGGCCAAACAACCAATGGCCGGTGGGGCGCACACCATCTCAACTCTTATACAACTGGATCTCCCAGGATGGAGCCCTGGACTGATGGAGAGCCCCTGATTTTAACTGCGAGACCCATGCTCAGTCAACTGTCATGCGAGTCGTGAAAGCCACCCAATGCGTCTTCACAATGCGTCTGCGCCTGCCAATGCGTCTGCGCCTTTCTTAGGCCTTTTTTTGACGAATGCGTCTTCGCAATGCGGATGCGTCTTCAGGTCGTTTGCCACACTCCCCTATATATATATATATATATACATATCCATATACCGCTTTGTAGCATGATACTGGTCAGGTTTATCTTAAATACTTGATGTTGTTGCGTGGCATTCGTGTTCGCGGATCTTTGTTGCTGTGCTAAAAGAGGCATGGTTGCTTTTACATCGCTGACTGCATCTATCTATGTTTCCGTGCTAACAGAAGCATGGTTGCTTTTACATCGCTGACTGCATCTACACCATCATACCATGTTCTTGCAACAATAGCTACTTTTGCCCGTCACCCTGCCTTTACTGATCTCGATTATGGCTGCACTATACAAGTAGAGTCTACATGTATTGTTCACCACAGTAGCAGCCGTTTAAAGTGGAGAATCGCCCGGGCCTCCCTCGTACGGCTCCGCGCTGCAGAGGGGCTGGGCTCTCCTTCCAGTCCCAGCAGCGTAAGCATCCCTACTGCCCCTACTCCTCAACGTCACGCCAACCCCTTCATGCGAGACCTGCCTGCAGGAGGAGGCGACGGTGCTGAACCTTACTTGGCTGCAGGTTTTTAAAACCTGAACTCCCACTAATACAGATGGAAAGAGGGGAATACCAAACCTAGGGCTCGAACGCATGGCAGAGACTGTGAAGCTGGGGTCGATATCCCCGTCGTGCGGGACATTCCACTCCGAGGCAGGGGGAGTGCCAGCCGTCCGGCTTGGGTGATAGGCCCAGACCTGCACAGCCAAGGGAGGGCCCCTAAGCTAGCACTTCTGAGTCAGGGCCTGGTCACCGCCGACATTCGGACCAAACCACCAGCCGCAGAGCTCTGGACCTCAGCCACAAGGTTGCCAGCCGAAAGAAGTCAGCACTTGCCGCACACTGCCGTCAACACTGTGGCTGCTGCCGTCCCGCTCATCCCAGAAATAGATCAGGACATCTAGCCCTGAACACAGGCGGCCCGGAATAAGGCAAAACAGGGCAGCCCTGTAAGCTGTTTAATGGCCTCTAGACTTTTCCCGCTTCTTGTACACCACCTTCCCGTGGTTGAGGCTGTCTGGCATGTACACACCAGCCTCAGAATAGCTCACTGTAGCACAATACTCGGCAAATCTTGACTTCTCATTCTTTCCACATTGTCACGGCCAGCCTGTCGCAGAAAAAAATTGTTGCCAGAGTTTGACCAGGCAGCAATAATAGCGCTGATCGTCTCGTTCTGACAGCCACTCACAGTCAGAGGTGGAGCAACGACCTGCACCCGACACGAACTGCTAAAGAAAGACACAGCGAACAGGATCAACAAAGACGCAAGCAAAAACAAAGACCAAAAAATCAAAACTCACAATACTAGAAGTGGTGGCAGCAGTCGTCGTAGTGGCAGTGGTAGCCACTACTACTACTACTACTACTACTACTACTACGACGACGACGACTACTACCACTTCTACTTGTTCATCGTCTTCCCTTTTCTACGATTACGCCTACGGATAAGACTATTACCGCTCTGCGACGACGACGGCGTCGACGGCATGGCATTCATGCTTGCTCTTTGGGTTCATGCCATAATACGACTAACCTCTCGCGCCCCGACAGCACATGAAATCTGTACAGTCACCGGAGGAGCTTCAAAACATGTAAGACGCTCATGCAGCGTGTGGCAACGACAGCACCTGCCAGTGAACACGGACTTGCAACTCGGGAATTTCGCAGTCTCGGATCCCTACAGACGGCACGCAAATGAGTGGGGAGCAAGAGGACATGTCGCCTCATCCTCCTCTCGACCTCGACCCCAGGGACCACGGCCAGACTCCCGACCAGAGTCTCGGCCGTAGCCTCGGTGGTCGTTTTGGTCGCCTGCCACCGAAATCTTTGAGGCTCCGTGTCCCGGAATCATGAATAACAAACAAAAGTGCCTTTGGCCCGCTCCGGACGCCGGGCTGGCAGATCCCTGCGGTCCTGGGCGACACGAGGTGAGGTGAAGAGATTTCTTGGATTCTGTGGATTCTTGTCTTGCCCTCGCCTCCTCCTCCTCACCGCGGCCTCCGCGGCTCCAGCGGCTGCGGCCATACCCGCGGTCTCCTTCGATTCATGCAATCGCACACGCAACACCTAACTCAGTTGGGCTAAGCACCCAGAACAAACTGATCCAAAGGAGGACAGCAAGTCGTCCCTGCATTCCTCGGCGGTCGCCCATCCAACCTTGCACGGATGTCGGCGACTATGAAAGCCGACGAAAACCGCCTCCTCAATGCCAGTCAATCATGGAATCACCACAAACGCTTGAACTGAAAATTCTGAATCTAGTTTCCTGGGTCGTGGCATCATCACGCATGCTTGCAAAAAAGACCAATAGTCTTGGCTAACATCATACATTGTTCCGGCTTTGCATCAGCTCATAATCGCTCTGGCGCTTGCAGTGCGATGCAACACTGAATGCTTGCTACCAACAGATGCAGCATTCTTCCGTACAGGTGCCGCGAGACTGCTCATGCCGGAAAGCCTCGCGGCTGGCGACGATGGGCCCGAGATGCACGCTGAAGTTTGAGCGAGGCAGCGGCGGTGTAGGCAAATGCAACAAGAAGCACGGAACTTGACAAAGCCACTTCAACTTCGAGGAAAAACTGCAACGCTTATCCTGCATGAAAGTTCTACTTGAACCTAGCTGGTGGCAAAGGCGTCGAGCGAGGGGCTCGTCGCTTGAGCATCGCAGCAGACCGCTTTGGATCCTGCATGGAATCACATCAAGGCATTGCTGTCTTCGGCGCAAGCTTGTAACGTTCATCTGACTGCAGTGGAGCTCGTTCTGCTTACCGGCATGCCTTCTCCCAGTATTGCAGAGTCCGGTACATGGTGGACAGTTCTTGAAGTATCCTGGTGCGCACTCCCAGCTTCTCAAAGTTTACTCAACTCGGTCCACTACTGCTAGGTCCTGACATGTTCTGTGACCCATCCATCTAAGAGGAAGTAGTCCAGAGCATGGGCGAAGAAGTGATTGCCCAGCTTGAAGATCTGACGAAAAGTGACTCGACTGCCAGGGAAACCGCAGCCGTGCAAATTAGAAAGCCTCGCGAGGCTAATGATGTGCAGACATGACCGAGACTTTCTCGATGCTTGATGTTGTGCGAGGAAGCCTCCCGCGCAGCGGCGAAAGACACACCGATGCAGGACGGCGACATTGGCCTGCAGCATTGCGTGCTATTCCTGGTCGAAAATGGCACCAAGGCTGGCTGAGGTGCTGACCGTTCTTCCCCTTGCCAGGATCACTGAGTTCCAACTGTGGCTAGCATTTTGAGTGTACGAGTCCCAACAATTTACAACAAGTCCAATCATGTTTGGCGCCGTGCACATCCGTACACCACTAGCAAACACTTCCTGCCTTCGGCTGTCAAGGGCTTGTGAAGCCCTCGCTGCTCCAAGAATGATGTGTTTGCTCTGCCTGGTCGCTCCAATCTCACTGTTGCAACCTCTGGCCGTCTTTCTTTTCTGCTCAGGACCCTGCGGATTCTTCGCTGGGTGTGTGCGTGCAGGAGCCTATCGAAGCAACGGATTGCAACCTTGACGAGTTTTTTCTGCGCAGGCCTTACAAAAACCGACCTTACCTGCAGCATCGCGGAATCCGTTTGGACATCTTTTTACACACACACACACACACTGGTGCTTCTCATTCACGAAACGACGACGCCAACCGAAGTCCTTGTAAGTCTAAGCCACTAAGTCTACGCCCGCTCCCATCATTGAACAGTTCACATGTTTGGACTCTGCATGCCTGAAGTGCACCGGAAGGTGGATCCTGTCGTCCGGCCCCAGGATAAGCCATTGCTCCTTCACAGCAAGAGAGTTGCATCTGAAATCGCCTCGACATGCATGCAAGCACACACGCACACACATACTCCTCTTGATGACTGCCTTCTGTCATGGCCTGGACATGTTACTTTGGGTTCAAGTTGCCCTGAGGCCGTGGAAGCAGATCGGCCACAGAGGGCCTCGTGCTCCTCCGCCATGATGTTGTCTTGGGCCTCATCATCTTCCAGATGGACGACCTGCGTGAGGACACGTTGCAAGATGCAAGGCGATTCCCGGCGAGGCCTCGGGGAAGATGTCGTCCCAGTGGATGGGTCCGGTACCGCCTTCTGGAGGGCGCTCCACCCGGTCTGCCGACACGCGAAAGCTGAGCTTGGTGCCCTGAGGCAGCGGGAAAAATCCAGCACGATCCATGTCAATTAACAATACGTCCTTTGTAGTTGCACTGATTGGACTACCAAGCACAGATGTTGGCGAACAGCAAGATTTCACTGACGGGTCGGACTGTCAGGAAAGCATCTGCAGCAGAACGACACTGATTACAGCCTGACCATGTGCTGCGCCTCGTCTGGAACGGTCTGCTCCTCCGCCTCTTGCTTGCGCTCACCACGCCAGACCTGGTACACTCTCGATTCGATGGTCTGCTCGATTGACATGAACAGGTCGTGAGGAACGAGTGCCTCTTCCCATGCATCCGGTCTTTCAGCACACGCCCTGGCGAACTTGAGACGGGTTGCGTACCTTGCGGTCATGCTCCAAACAACACCCCATCGGATACAGCAAGCTAGACAGCTAGTCAAGAGCTGCTTCCCTACCGTCGGTATATCGTGTCCCTGGAATTGGCGACCTTTTCAGTGTTGATTGCCTCAGCAACCATGTACGACCCAGCTGAAGCTGAACACGATCGTATATGAGACTCGAGTTTCTCCGTGACTTGACACCATATGCTGACGTCACCTTTTGACTTCAGCAGTATCAGACTCATTGCACAACCGACAACGGGACAACTCCTAACCGCCGAATGTCAAACTTGAGACCGTGCGGAACACGATGAATCGGGCTCGCATGTTCGACTCGGATAGCTCTTACGACTGCCATGTTTCAAGTCTTAGTCGTTCGACCGACCGGCACCCAGCAGAACAACTGGGCACATGTCCCGCGGCTTTGACTGCCATATTCTATATTGCAATTGACAGCTTGAACCCTTGAACAGCCTAGAAGCCTACTGACACACGACGAAGCCATTTTGAGTTTCGGTCCGTTCTGCAACATCTCAGGCCCTGGGTATATTGGACGAGACTCAAATCCAAGCCACGCTGCATGTTGCCAATGTCGCGCATGCACTCGGCCTTGAGCTCTGTGATGTTCTCGGGCTCTGAGCCCACAATCTCTCCACCACGCTCGCACATGACCAGAGCAGAGTGCAGCAAATACTCCTTATTGGGTTCGACGCAAAAGGCGTCGGGCTTTGGGTACTGTTCTGCAACTGACAGATGGGTACTCTCTGAACATGCTACACTTCTTTGCAGTGTCGGCTATGTGCCGCCACGAATCGGCAGTCCAGAACATGCCATCGTTGATGAAGAAGTCAGATAAGGCACAGCAGTTCCTGCGTGACAAGGAAGTAGTCCGTGCAGAAGCACACGCACACGCACACGGAAAGAGGACGTGTGCGAACCAGCTTGCTGCCTTGCCTGATCCAATCCTTTGCGTCGAAAGGGTCCCGCTCCGTGATTTCTCGGCTGCGTAAGCCAAGCGAGTTCGACTTCAGGGATGCACAGTCAGCAAACGAATCGGCAATCGGCACGATTGCTGGCCAAGCAAGCCTGTCATGAGACCCTGTACACAAATAAGAAGGCAAAACGTCAAGCAGTGTAATCATGGGTGAATCCAAAGAACACCCAAGGGCCAGATCGAGTGTTACAACGGCCAGACAGGCTAATGATGAACAATTTTGCGAGGGCGGTCTGCGATGTTGACAACAGGAAGAAAGCTGGTTCCATTGTGCAAAACATGAAGGTTTGAACTTGGCTCATGATAAGCAAGGACAATGCGTCCTCGAACACCACCATGAATAGAGTTGCTCATGCAACTCAGCTACCGGTGCTGGCACCGCTACCGCCCTGCCTTCCTTACTTACTAGTCAGTCAGGTCCATTCTACATGTCCCAGTTCGAGCAGGATGACGCAAACCTGTTACCTAGTGAATGCGCCCCTCCCACCTCGAGCTGGCGACTCATGGTCTCGGCGCAAAAGCGTGCTGAAAGGGCTGGCTTCTGCAGTGCCCCATAGGCCTGCGCCAAGTAAAACCTGGCAGATACACATGCACGCACAAACACACCAACAAACAAGTTCCCAGTGGTAGGCAGCACTCGTCTGCAAGCCAAGCGACATGGTCATCGTGTAGTTGTTCTCACAGCGTTCCTCGCAAACATCTCGTACGTGCTGCGGTCGCCTCATGTACATCACCTGTGCCCTGCGCAGGAAGTTCATTCCTTCCTGGGCGGATGACATATGACCGTCTAACATGACAAGGAGAGAATGAGACGAAAGAAAACTGAGCATTCCGGCTTTGTGGCCTCCACGATTACACCAGAGCATGCCCAGCTGATTGAAGACATCCTGACATGCAATGGCGGCGGAGATCTGGAATCCTCCTACTATTGTCAGTTGACTCGAGGTGATGCACATTACAGCATCCCAGTATGCGCAGAACAGGGCCTGGATGTAACAGAACGGCTCGGGTTCCAGTCGCAACGGCGATCGCAGGTAGCGCTCCAAGGATCGGATGAAGCACTTCTCAGCCTGTGGGACCTGTTGTGCAGGGGAGGTATGGGCCTCAACGGACGAGGTGACGACCAAGTCTGGCCCTGCCTCCTCGCAGAAGTAGCAGTTCTTCCCTAGGAACAGCAAGAGCCTCCAAGTCATTCTGTCTGCGAATCCAACCAAGATTTCTCTGCGCTCTGTGGATCTACACAACTCCGGCTCCAGCAAAGCTCACAGCATAGCTCATGCCGTTCATATTCTGGCCCGCTTCCTGGCCTGGCGACAACTTCACGTCCACGATCGGCAGTTTGGATGGAAGCTTCCTCCTCAACGAGATTTTCCACATTCTTGACCTTGGTTGCACAAGTAGCAAATCTTGAGGGTCGAGCCTCTCATATCCTTCGATTAGAGCACAAGGCTTGATCCTGATGGAGCCATGACAGCCATGACAAAAACAGGAAACATGCGGCACAGCATGGCCAGTGCGCGGAATACAACTTCGGAAATTTGTTCATGCTTGCAATCGGAGACCATTCAGTAAGCCGGGCTACTGCCATCTCCAGCATTTCCCGGGCAACATATTTGCTTTTGTAGGGATTGTCTTCGGGATCCTGCAATGCGGCTATGCCGCCTTCATCAACACCGACAAGTGCGCAACAAGAGCCAAGCCTGGGCAGTCCATAAGTCATCGTATTTCTTGAGCGTCTGATCCACATCATGCACCAGAAAAGTCCTCAGCTCGAAGTAATCAAAAAAACTTTCGCGATGTGGTTGAACGTAAGCTGATTGATGCAAGCTTGGTCGTGTTCAGCTATGTCTTCCAAATCGGAACCAAGCTTCTCCAACTTACTCATTCCGGCTGCTAGTGCTTCGGCTGCTTCTGAATGCCATGAGACCTCAAGCCCGGCAGCAGCACACGGTCAATGCTGAACAACAGCTAAAAAAACCGGCCGATGACGAAAGACAACTGCAGAGCCTCAGGGCCGAGTATGTCAATGTCATCATGAAAGCATCATGCTTCCATTCAGCATGTGTGGCTGCAAACGAATGTCACTAAGCTCATGTACATGTGCACAAGCACAACTTCGCGCGATCACCACAACACTGTGCAGCAATACATTGCCATGTGTAAATTAATCGTGATGAAACCTTCTTGTTGTTTGTCTCTGAGCCATAGATTTGTCCAGTACCGGATAAGACACGTCCAGCAAGTGTGAACAACAAAGATCTTGCCGGTAGGTGCTAGTGCTGACCAAACCACAAATGCACAGCCACAGAATTGCAAGGTTCGAGCGTGCTGGCGTGAATACTTTTGGCGTGGGCCCTACAAGAAGCCCAAACCGAGCCAACGCAGCCACCAGCAGAGTCGATGCCACAATACTCCATGGGGGCAGGTTAAAAGTGAGGTTAAGGCACATAAGTCTCACAGACAGAGAGCAACTGACACGAAGGTGCAGACAAAAGTCAACGCGGCAAGTGTGACATGTGACAGTTGCAGACAAAACTTGCAGTCTTATCGAGCGTGTGGTTTGTCATGTATGTTTTGTGCACAAATCCAGAAAGCCTTCAGCTCGCTCTACAGTTCAAAGGTCTTTGCGGACAACAATCGAATCTTCAGCAAATTGACGCCAAAGGTTTTTTTGGCGTGGGCGGGCCTCAAAGACAGCAGTTGCTGCACTCGGTCCCAGCAAGAACTACAATAAAGTGAATAAACCAAATGACGAAGACTAGCGAGAAGGGTGAGACAGGCTGCGACTAGCAGACTTAGCCGGCAGACGTCGTTCAGCCAAAAATCCGGCGCCCAGCAGACGCGACCGCTCAGATGCCCCGCTACCCAGTTCGCCTAGGTCGCGCAATGGCACGCATGTCGACGAGTTTCCATGAATATTGGGTCGCACGGAAACGGACGCCCTGCCATGGCCCAAGGCAGAGAGCCGAATATACCCCAGCCGCTTCCAAACAGAGTAGGTGTTGCGATGGCAAGCGAAAGCCATGATGGCAGACACATTGCCGATCCCGCAAGGAAGGTCAACGGCGCATGCTATCGCAGGTGCGCACCCACAAAAAACTCCCAAGCCCAGCTTCCCCAAAGTGGGCATCGAAAGGCCAGACAATTTCCGTGAGCAGTGCAACGCTAAGTTCAATTGCCCAGCTTACCAACAGAGGGTCTCGCAAGGGCAAAAGAGGAATGACAAAAACGGCAGAACACAATGACCAGTCCATAAAGTGGCAGGAATGCGATCCAAAGGCGAATCCCAATGCGCAACCACAATGAGGTCCCGTGCCCAGCTTCCCTCACTGTGGGTCTCGCAAGGGCGAACAAGTCTTCCCAAAGCGCTGGTGTCGCAATGTTAGAAATGGACAGCCATAGCAACAGGGAGAGTGTCTATCCCAAGGAAGGTCAATGGGGCAAGCCACTGGCAGGTTCGCACCCAAAAGAGTCCCTAGGCAGCTCCCCACATCGCAGGCCTCACAAGGGCAGCGCATGCTTCCATGAGCAGCTCTAGACCTCAAGCAGCTCTGCCAAGCCACCAACAGAGCAGACAGTGGTGTATGCCGAGGCATGAACCCGGTGCGCTCAACACCCGCTCCTGCCCAGCTTCCCACCAGTGTGGGTCTGGCATGAAGCAGGCACTGTGCACATTCCATCCATTTTTATTGCTGCTGCTCCTACTGCAGCAGCTACACTGCTGGAAAGCCAGCCTTGTTGGCCACGACAGTAGAACGCAGTCCCAGAAAACTACAACTAAACAAACACAAACACAAGAAAACGTGAAACGGGCCAAGACATGGCAATCTAGTCCACCGAAGCCACTCGAAGCAACGAGTAGAGTTGAAACTTGCTGCATTCTTACCAATCGCAGCGCTAACAGTTGCTTAGAGCATCTTGTTCTACATTCGTTCGATGTGACAGCTTAAGCCACAGAATATTGTTGCTGTCATTGTCCATGAATCTGCAGCAGCTCAATAAGCTGTACTGTTGGAAGGGAGTGGCTGCGTAAGCCAAAAGAAAAACGTTGATCACTTTTATTTGGAATTGAAAATTCAAAAAGAGAGTGAAGCGGGATCAAAAATGGACCTGGAATTTGGACCCGTTTTGAGGGCTCTTGAGAATTGGCACACTTCCAAAATTTCAAACAATCAAGTTGAAACTTGCTGCATTCTTACCAATCGCTCCGCAACAGTTGTTCTCAAGAAAATACCCCAAAAATGGGGCCGCCAAACAGCTCTGTTCTTGGAGTCGCAAGTTCTTCTATTTGAGGCACGCCCGCCTGACTGCTACACGATGAGGCGACTGGCACACAGGCGTCCAGCTTGGAAACAACAATCTTTCAGGATTAAGACTTCCGTCTGAAAATCGCAGTTCTGTTTATCTCCATGTGATGTTTTAGCAAAAAAAGCTGGCGGATTTTTTGAAATAAGTCAAAGCGATTTCTCCTCACCCACAACCACACCACACCACAGCAGACCCACGGGAGTGGATCTGCCCCACAATCACACCAGCAGATCCACGCAGGAAACCCCACGACATCACACCACCGGCAGAGTGGGGTAAGCAGCCGAAGCAGACCCACTTCCAAACCACACCACACCCACAACCACACCACACCACAGGAGGGGCAGGAAGAACCAGTGGGGGGAGGGGGGGTGCCTTGGCGGATGGCTACAACCTGCGCGCAACTCTGGCAGTTTGGCAACAGGTAGAGCTTCCCTCGGCGTGGAACATCCAGCTCCCAGGTGACGAGGCCTCCACCATCAAATGGTACTCCCGCTCGCTTTTTCTAGCGGTAGACATCAAATCGCACCAAACACATTCTGCTCTCCCTCATCCAGTTCTAGTTTAGGGGAATCAGCTCCAGGATGAGGGATGTGCTGAGGCGAGGGCATGCTCTTGTCCAGGCCGGTCGGTGGAACCCTTCGCGTATCTTGTCTGTCAAGGTCGGTCTGTCACTTCCCCAGCGAAGGACTTCATTCCAGGAGGCACTGTCCAGTTGGGCTTCCAAGCCGGTTCAGGGGCTTATTGCCCATGTTGGCCGAAAGATTTTCAAGCCCGGTGGGCTCTCCCCGCATGCCAACAGCAGCTGATTGGTGCTGGCAGTTCATTCTTGACGCAAGTGCAGGTCACCTGAAGGGCCGCCTTCACAGCGTTCCATTCCGGAAACACTCCACCCCATGTGGGAACCCCTCTCAACATGATGGGAACTCCGCCAGCCTGCACGGTAGCAACAATGGCATCGAGGCTGGGCCCCAGACCTTCAACGAAGGGGGGGCTTCAAGGGGGGCTTAAGGGGGGCTTGAAGAGGGGGCTTAAGGGTCCCCCCCTTAAGGGGGGCTTAAGGGGGGGGGGAAGGGAGCCGATACACCCCTTTAGGATTACTCCTGTGGGAGTGTATGACCAGTTTGAGTCCCGTGGGATCTAAGGCAACGCCCAGCACACGGACAGCGATTGTTTTGTTCTGCTACGCAGAGAGAGCTTGTTGTCAAGTCGGTAAAACCACTTGAGCCAGCGAGCAGCGGACATGTATACATGTGAGCATGCAGCCAAGCCATTGCTGTAAGTACCACCCCTTTAGAGGTTTAGGCAAACAAACAGACACTAATTTTCTTTTACTGAAAGCATGGCCGCGTGTTCACACATATACACTTGAAAGTGCTCACTGAACTCAAGACTAGCGGAGTATGGACTCATTGTAAAGGATGATATCTTAGATATTCCATAAGTTGCGAAAAGTTCACACTCACTCACTTTTGAGTCTGCAAACATAAGTCTTGTCATAGAGAGATCTTCTGTACACGATCAGGTCTGTGACTGCTACTTCTACTTCGAATTATGCAACGGCTCACTGGACTCTTGTTAGAGTGTTGGCCTTCTTTTCTTGCTGCTGCTGAGAGTTGTTCACCTCTGTGCCCGATCCAGGTTTGGATCATAAGATCTGCTGAGGGTGTTCGGATGTGACTCATCCGGTTCTGAATGGTCTTCCTCACTACTGGAGTGAATACCAAGGAATCGATTCTCAGCTCTGGTAAAAGCAGCATCTGGAATGCCATATCCGTGATCGGATGTTTCTGGCCCTGCCTTAGCTTTCGGCGCAGCTTGTGAGCTGGTTGCCTTGGGATAACTTTGAGGACATGCTGGCTGTTTAGCCTTTGCTTTTGCTTTTGCCTTTTGGCGGACTTGTCCATCGGAAGATGGCCAGGAGTGCTCTGACTCGTCTCCTGATGGAGATAAAGCATTAGCATGTCTGCTATCCCAATACTGGTGTGTTGACGGTCACGGTGGTCCGTCATCTTCCTCTTCCTCTTCTTCTAAGTCATCCTCAGAACTTGGGTCGTCGATGAGGCTCTCCAGGACATTCCGGAGATTGTTGTGTCTCCTCTCGATTTCGGGAGAGTTATGGAGCAGTTGATTGAAGATCGTCTTTGCATTTTGTAATGCAGTGACAAGAGTCTGTACTCTGGATAGAGTGTCAACATGCTTCTCAATGTGCTCTTTTCTTTCGTCTCTGTCCCTCTGGGTAGAGTTTCTGAACAAAAGAACGGTCTTTTCCAAGCAGCTAAGAGCCTGCGGTACGGTTCCATGCCATATGCACTCCTGACACATGACATGTGGAAAAAGTTCACGTGGTTACAAAACCTAGCCGGCAAATAGGGGCGTGTACATGTTGTCAAAAGTCTTCACCCCGCCTGAGCTGTAGCACTATGCAAAGCTCATCCGGCCTTTGTTCAAACAGTACACGATGCTTTAACCTTTGTGGTCCGCATCGGCGCAATATACACATGGACGATACTTCCGAATCTTCGAATGCACCGTACGAAGAACATGGCACCCTTCCTTGTGGTAGCAATTACCGTT